TGATGTGTTGATAATAAATGGGCAAATTTTTAACTGCGGGCAGTTGAATCAATTGCAGCAATGGCCTAATAAAAGCAAAGTCACTAGAGCTAGATTTCATTCTCTGAAAAGTTGAACCTTAAAGGAGTATTATTGGCAGCTCTTTTTATTTTGTAGGAAATAGAGTTTGACTATGCCTCGTCACCTGAACCGTAAATATTGATGAATATGCAGTCCAAATGACACTTTAAAGCAAAATTATATGGCGGCTTGAATGGACTTTGCATTTGGCTGCCATTGGAAGGCTTTGTAAATTTTTTCCGAGTCAAGGAAGTGAGTTTTTATTGAAAGCATTGTTTGTTACATGCATTTCAAAATTCTGTAAATATTGTCAACTGATTTTAGAAATTAATTAAGCTGAGGATACTATTCTTAGGATCCAATTATGTGCCAATTCGGAGGAGGTTCCTGGTATTAACCGAGTTGCCATGATACGTTAGGAGAACAGCCATTGGTGTGAGGTAAACATACAGTTATCCAAAAATTGCGTGAATATAGTGTTATAGAATCTCCATCGACGATATTTACTTTGATAAGCTATAATTGTTTTGCTTAAATCTACCACTAATTGAAGCTGAAAAGAGGAAATTTTGCTATACCGTCAACTCATTATAACTTTTGTGCAACCCTACCTACATGGAGCAAAAACCGTTCCAACATTTTGGCCTGAGAGTTCGTCAAACAGACAATTTCGCCGATGGGGTCATTCTGTGTGGCTTTAAGCAATGCTCAGACTAAATCTGAAAGGTTACCTTTAGGTAAACTATCAGGAATCCCAAGACAGGAACTGAATGCACTGACAGAATTTTTTGGCAATATTCCAAACTATGGTCTAGGCGACATTTAACTTGCCGTCTAAAAATACAGATGCGTGTAGGATGTAGACATGTTCGATCGTTGAAGAACAAAATTTGCTTGGCATGGTCACTTTTAGGAAAAAAATTGTTTGTGGTAGTGTCAATGGAATAAGCGCATAAAATGTGCAGGACTTTTGAATTTTTAAGCAGCTTTAAACGAGTAACTGACTAGTAAACTTTAAATTGATTTTCAACTTCAGCCTCTTTAAAAAACAATAAAATTGGCGAAAATTTGTACGCCAAATCAAGAAAGAACTTATATGCTATCCAGCTCATTCAGCAACACTTGCTTTTTATCCACATTGGAGTTGTTTGGGCTTTAGTTGTCCAGTCATTAGCTCGTTAATTTAACCTTGTTTCGAGTTGTAAAAATGGAAATTAGAACATATGTCTGTATAATGACCTATCCCTCATCGTAGACAACGAGGTAAAACTTAACGTCCACGCTGGTTCTAATCCCTCGTGTCTTGTGTACACTTCTTGTTGACGTCATGTTCTCCCATATCTTCAGTTGATGATTACCAAAACCAGGAACCACCGATGCCAGTAAATTCTTTTGCAAGTCTCAATAAATCATTTAAGCAAATTGTTTTCATGACTTAATAGCGAGCAGCGAACGGGCACAGTGAGCAAGCGTGAGCGAACACAATTCAATCGATTTATGTGAGTGCAATTCTGGTAGCTATGTGCATTTCGAGGTCGACGTTTAGCTGTGCTATATAAACTGACGACTTGTTACCTGGACAAACCATCCTACTACTGCATCAATAAACCTCTCGAACTACACGCCATCTCCATCTCCTCTCTTTTTGTCTCATTTCCTCTTTTGGAGCTTCGCGTTGTGTCTGGTAACAATAACCTTGTGTACTGTTTTCTAACATAGCCCATTGGAAGTGCCATTGAATTGGCTGCCTTTTTACGGCCGTCTTGAGATTTCAGAGGTATGATTAAACTGAGCCAGTTCATTTGCTGGCTTAAAATGACCAAAGCTGGGTCATCGTTGGCTAAAAGGAACGGTTTGCCACACAAATCGTCCAAAACGGGTCTGTCTACCGTAAAGTTGTACTCACTTTTTTTTCTAAACTTCTTTTATAACTTAAAAGTCTGCTTGTACATTAGCGTTCTTTGTAATCTAACGCCTTTCCGCCGTACAGCAGCAACAGGAACGTTCGACATGTTGTGCCGTTTCGGATCACCCTTGAATTTCTTAATCTCGATATTTGGTAACGTCGTCAGATTATACCCGTCTGCTAGAATAAATGACTTAATGCTGCGTCTGGCAAATTTATTTAAGATAAAGCTATTGCCAGTCACGCATGTTAGTGTCATTTTTTAGACGCAGGCATCTAGTAAAGTCCCACATTTTGACGACATGAGATCTGAAACCGAGATAAAAGTTTGCTGACTTAATTTTTTTGCTTGAAATAGTGCGTTTGAAAATAATTTAATTAAACCCCATTTTAAGGCATATAAAAGGATAACAAAGAAAACCAGACATGATGACAAATTTGGACGTTTCTCAAAGTTTAAATCTACTTGACAGGTTTGGGTCTGTGTAGCAACTGCAAAACTAAATCACCTGAAATGCATCCATTCATTCAAACAAACATTCGAAGCTTGCTACCAATTATAAATGCATCGGTATTTCCGTTGTTACTATTTCGGTAATTGAGAAAAGTGGGTATAACGGGTAAAATTGCTGACGCTTAGGGAAACCTTAAACTAAGAACTCAAAGCAAGAAGTTTTATTTTTGTCTAGGAGCGGATCAGTTTACAGCAAAGGATGTGTGTAATCGAGTAAACACTTCTGCACTCGCGTGTGAAGGCTAGTAGTTTCAATTCTGCAAGGTCAACGATGTCCTTAATTAGCGGCATATCAGGTAACCGTTAGCGAATAACAAAATGTTAGGAATGGAAGCATTCCGAAAATTTAATGATTTCATTTTGGAATATTTTAAAGGCGATTTCTTACTAAATAGAAATTGTGGTGTCTGGCCCTCAATTTGCAGAAATTGTTTTGATGACTAAAGATCAAATTGGATGATTATTTTTAATTTATGAGATATGACATCTTTGGCGTTCAAATGTTTCTCAAAAGTTTAAATGTACAATCAGCATTAACACAAATTTACCTTCAAGCCCTCCAAAAATTAGGCATTTGGGTTTAAATCACGTGACGATGGGGAGATAAACATTCTGTTCGCTCGCCTCCAATTAGGGCTCGACTTGATTGGAGTTAATGGCAATGTGGGAGCAAAATCATAGTACGTCACAGTGAAGACAATTGTCCACGCATAGGTGGGTATCAAAATTATCTTTTAACAAGAGCCAATAGAAGGCCAGGGTGATATATGGATACCGATTGTATGAGGTAAAACCGTTTGAGTAGGCTTCTAATCACGCGCTTACACTGAGGGTCAACAAATTACGTCTGGCGACATAATGACTTGTTTAACATTTAAGGTATTAAGGACTGGTTAAAATACTAGATAAAATACGTAAGGTTACGGGAAAGAAATAAACGTTTGACTTTGCCTATTTAAACTGAACCAATGGTTGTATTTAGCGACATTAAAATTCATGTTCCAATAATAATAAAAGAAGGGCTCGAACAATTCCCTTTATGCTTAATAAATTAGCCTTTATTGCAAAATCAAACGAGGAGCCTAAAAATCAGTGGCAAATAATAGTGAAGAACTAAAACCTGGAAGTCAAAAATTAATACCGTTGCAGTAACACCAAGATGGCATAAATTTAAATTAGCAACGTGGCTCTTCATCGATGATTTAAGTAGCAAAGTATGCAAATAAGGACAAAAGCACACCCATTACCAGAATGGCGTTAAGGGTCGAGTACTGATATGGACACTACAGTTGCACCTAAATAAGTTTGCGGTTTTTAGTTCATAAACTTGATAAGGTCTAATAACCTCTTGATTTAATTGATTTATATCAAAGAAACAGAGTTTTAAGAGTAGCGAATAATATTATGCAATTAAATTTGCATGACGACAAAATTAATAGTGCGATTTATAAAATTTGTTGGTATCTATATTTTACATTATGCCTTTATACACTAACTTTAACGGCCGTGATATAATGTTGGTTTGGCTCACGATTAGAATAGATGCTCTAAATGTAAACCGCTTCTTTTAATACACTTTGAGGTTTATAGAAATACAGATTAATACACAACTCAAATCTGTGTCGCCTTTGTACACGATTCATCTGTGTTTACGCAGTTTCCGAAAATTATTGCATTTATTAGCAAAGTCCCAGCTTAGATTAAGACTTAACCACTTTTCCTGGTATCTTTTGTAAACAGTGTTTGCAGTATTAACACGTTCAATTGTTCGTCACTGATTATTCTACGTAATTCTTACTCAAACATGATAGTCTAGCAAAATATTGAAAGAAAATAGATAACTTCATGTAAGTCTAAAAACAAGCATGAATTAAGGGATTGGCCTTATCAGACTAGTCAATATGTAATAGAGTACTTAATTCAAGTCAAAAAACAAATTTAAAATTTTATAATAACTTAACAATCACACAAAAACTGCTTAGAAATTGATTCAAGTTTTATTTGTAAGCAACAGTACGTAGAGGGCAAAATAGCAATGTTCATTTTCCCAAATCAAGTACGGCTAACAATAACAATTTGCCCAACCTTTCATTTATTTGTCAACGGAAAACAGTTCAATAAATACATTTGTTAACTGCTCACGTAAACGAAGAACTGTGGATTTATCTTTTCATAAATTAACGTCGAATTTATATTTAGCTAATTTTTCTACAACAAAAAATGCAAAATATTTTACCTTTGATTCCCGTAGACCACTTTACAACATAGAAAAATACTTTGTCATAAAATTTACTAAATTTAACCTAACGAAACGTGTTAGCATATTTAGACTTCCACCACTGCCAACTTAGAACTATTGACCTGTAGTGACTAAAAATAAAAAAGTTTGTTTTACTCTCTACCCAATTGTTCTTTAGAAAAAACGCAGGTAAAAATTGTTTATTGTTTTATTCAAGAAGGTTTACTTGTTTTACATTACAAACGCCGAGTAACCAAGGTTAACGTAAATTCAAAAGGCAAATGCCTCCGGTTGGTTGCGAAAAATCCCAAGGTGATGTGGAGAATGAGCATTGCATAAATGTGGACACCATCAAATCTTCTTTAAACTGCATCAATGTATCTAATGCTCAATGCTTTCGACCACAAAATGTTGGTTCTGTGATTCCCCCACCAGCAAATCCGTTCTATCCGTTGTCGAATCCTCGGGATACTGATCTAAAATGTGAAATATGTTCCGAACCAGCCTATTTGCAGTGCTCATTGTGTCGAGTCACATATTATTGGTACGTAATATTGCCTTTTAGTAAAAATGGCTTCAGGATTTGGATTTCGAATGTTTAGCAAACAGTTATTTTGTGCTCTCTATTTACCCAAACATCGGCTTTTAATCGTTAAATCATAAGCATTACTTTAGTATCGTGTACATGGCTGACATCTTAACCAATTTATTATAGATGCAGAACTTATAATTGTTAGATTATATTGACACTGCAGGGGAGCAGCATTCAGAATTGCTTGGTGGAAGTGACAAAATTTTGGGCTAATTGAAAAAAAAAATTAAAAAAATGTCCATGTGACTTTTGCTAATTTAATAACACTTTCTCTCACATATACTGTTCCATGCTTTCTAGTCGTTAATTTAAAATGCAGATCTTCGAGAAATTTTATGTTAAATCAATGTCGGCAATTAGCATGCTCATGTCACTTTCATTTTTATCTGAAAATGAAGGTTAGATGGCACAGCATTCAAACATTCTGGTGCATAAGTATTTTTTTCAAGCTTTTAAAATAGTAATTTAAAATGACAAAATATCCTTATAATTTTAAGCAACATAGAACATCAAAAAATTGATTGGGTGGGGATACATGAGCAGATCTGTTCAACGTTAGGACGATTAAGGAAACCATTTGGTTTCATTCCCTCTGAGGAAGATCGTCGCAAGAAAATGGAAGAAATTCAACATATTCAGGTTTGTAAATTTTCAGTAGTTTTCCAGTTAACAGGTTTTAGTTTATTTTATTAACTCTGACTCGGGAATCTAAACCACCTTTGTAATTGAGGTTGCATGACCTAAAATTTTAATTTTTGAATATTTGTAGTTGAAAATGGTTCAAATAACAAAAAGGGCTGGACAGAGACTGCTGTTATTAGGAATGCCACAGGAGGCTGTCCCTGCGGCTTTGCAATGTCTAAAATTTTCGTCCAGTGCCTACGGAATGGCAAGTGTTGAACTAGTTGTCCCCTATCTAATTTTAGCCGAATCTAGTCTCAGTAAGTTTTAATTAATTAGTATTATTTATTGTAACCGTATAGAAAAAATTGCTCCTGCGTCTGGCCATTATTACTAGGTAAGACAGAAAAGCTTTTAATAAGTTCAAGTAAACACACGTAACTAAACCCAAGTTATAGTAAAAACATCAAAGTTTTCATACACCTATAATAATGCTATAAAAACACTTCTGAAAAGGCCCATTTACAATAAATCCTCAAAATGGTTTGTCAAATGTTTTCCTTTCATATAAGCCCTTTCTGAGAATTTAGTACGTCCATAAAATTGCGTCATGAGGTATAATGCATCAAGACGTTATCGGGGGTTCTCCTGGCAGTTATTTTTCAACTTAGGAGTTCTTTGTAGAAGGTCAACTCAAGCAGTATTTAAATTTAATTTAAGATATTAAAAACAATTCGAGTCTTATTAATTAGTATTGATGAATCTTCTTAGTAATTGCCTCTTTATAAAGAAGATTGAAGAGTTGTAACTATAGTAACTCTCCTTTAATAAGAGTTTGTACTTGCCACCTTAATGTTAATCTTTACTATGCCAAGTGTTAAAAAGGATCGACCAGGCTGAATCGTATCTTGCACAAGCTCAATGGACAATGTTAAAGACACAGCATGAATGCCCCCACGCTATTAGATCTGCGTTACACAGAAAAATGGGCCTCCTTTATACCGCGAAAGGGGAGTATCAAGCTGCGTTGGAAAGTCTCGCGCAAGATGTGAGTCCACTTAGTGAACTGGCAAACACTGCTACTAAGTGAAAACAAGTAGTCTTTGATTTTGTCACCTATTCCTCAGACACTAATTCATCAAAACTGAAAGAAGTGAAGGTGGAAACAGTGTGTTGAGTAAAAGTGCACACAAGTTGAACAGGGTGGTCTAAATACGTTACAAATAGATTTTTTTGATAGTTTTAAGTCTTTTTGTGACAATCTGTGGTTTGCAGCTTATGGGGTTGAGATGCAGGAATTTGGTATTTATGATCAGCAAAATTGTGATGATATCTAGCACTAGAGTACGTGTTCTACATTATTTGCTAAAACGTGGCACGCACGTGTTTGGAAAATCTGGTGAACTTTGAGTTTTGATTATGAGGTAGGTGTTTGTAAAGTTAATTTACTTGTTTATGCATAAAGTTTGCAGGATAGTTGAGGTAAAATCGACGATTTTGAGGAATCGGCCGTTTTTTACTCACCAGGACTGCGCATGTCGTCTTACGTTTGTGTGTGCCTGTACAAAATTGTGAATGTATAAGCTGCTGGGCACAGAATCTGTGCAAAAGTGGAGGCTTATTGGGATAAATAAAATTAGGGCGAAATATTGTATGAATGACTGTAACTGACGTATACTTACAAGTGACTAGAACCTTGTTTATGCTAATTTTTTGACCAGTCAAAACGTTTTTAACCATAGTTGCCCCTTTTGCCCAACTTAACATTGATTCTTTTTCAATTTAAGATTTTTTATTCATCTTGTGCTTACGGACCAAATCACATTCGAACGGCTGGAGGGTACTTCCAGATGGCCAGTGTTTTTTACAAAAGTCACTGTAAAGATATTGAGTTTGTGCGCAATCTCGTCGATCGCGATTGTGAAGACTTTGACAACCGTTGCAAAGACGGACAAAAACCTACAGGGAAGCAACAATTTCCAGGTGCGGATAATTGTCGTCCAATGCCCCCCGCTCTAGTGCTTAAAGAAAGGCCCTCCTTCGACGAGATGACAGCTTGTGTCAACTCTCAAACGTACATGTCAAGGGTCTATAAAAAACCTTCCGTGCTTCAGAGACCGGTAAATAAAGACCGCGTGGCGGATGATCTGTACGCTCGTGTCGTTGATATTTGGGCAAAGTACTTAGCTTCAATTATTGCTTCGAGGATTAAAAGACCTGAGACACCTTGCAATTGCAAACGTTTGCTGCCGGAGCCGAAATCTGACGATTTGGAACTTGGTGAGTGACCAAAATCACGTCTTATATCTTAAAGTTTTCTAAATTTGTGATGTTCAAAATGAGATAAAAAAAAGCATCAAAGCTCTCTTACACAGAAATCAAATTTAGACAATTTTTCACTTTTTTTGATTCAAGGTCACAGAGCCTTAGTGATGGGCGTATACAATTAAATCATCGGTTTGCTCCTGGTCATACACTGGCAACTTTTGTATACGTGCCCAATAATGCTCCTCGCATCTAGTAAAGAAAGTTAAAAAATGAACATTTACCCACTGACCAAACGACTTTGGTTGTGAACTTTTATTCCCACAAGTTTCGTTGATTTCAAAATTCCTGAAACATTTCATCTTTTTCAATTTAATCAAGATTTAAGAAGCTATGACACCTAACTTAATAACTTGGCCTAGGATTTTGGCAACAAATTTAGCTTTTAGACTATTAGTACAGCATGTGGCAAAATAGCAACCGGGTTATAGATGCTATCCTCTATGCCATATTAAGCAAACGGTTGATTAATTCTGAATCTAGCGGCATAAATATAGTACAATCTCTGTGTTTAGGTCTATGAGCCCATCTATTCGTTAGTGCACAAAAAATTTTTGAGATCAAGTAATTTTGCCTGCATAAGCACGATGTCAGACTCCATTAATTACCGCATATTAAAAATACAGGAGAAATAATATTATCAGACTAGGTTATCGTAAACGTAAGACTTGCCTTAAAAATTTCTTCACTTGTACCTGAAGTTCTGCTGCCAAGCAAGTGAAAATTCACATGTGATTAAATCGTCACCTGCTGAGATCTAATCTTCGATTCATTGCTAGATCATTCGTGTTTTTAGTTAATGTCGTAAAAAAGGCAATATCTGGTAACTTAATCACTTCGTAGGCTACTGCAACGATGTGCACAATTTATATTTTAGGGCTTGGACTCATCAATTAGGAAATTTTGCAAGTGGTTTACATCAAGTAACTTTCATTGACTGTAGAATAAAGTAAACATTTAGAAAGTTCACACAAAATGTCCTCTTCATTTATTTTATTAGCAAATTAACTACTTTTTAATCCGTTTGCATTCCAACTTTGCTACAAAGTCAAAGAGTTTTCGACGATGAATATTTATCATTCAGAATCAACTTCTTATTACTCCTACGTGCACGTTTGGTTTGATTATAGGCTCCCACATTTGTTTATGAAAATAATTCATTTATCACCTGTCCTCGCATGGTGATCAGTGAACTTCATCTATGCTTGCGTTATTGCTACCTTTGAATAAATGCATGTCAACCGATGCTCTTTAAGTATGCTTTTATTCATTGAAAGCTAAACTGTAAGTTCAATAGTTGCTTGAATGATTTGCCCACGGTGCGAATGCCACAACGGTTGCTTTTAGATGAACTTGATGCTGTAGAAGCAAAGCAAGTGCTCACAACTATTAGCGAATACCGAACTCATAGAACAACTGCCGATGGTGTCGAATTTATCGCCTTGGCGGCCGGGCGACCGGATCCACGTGCCCGCCTCGACCTCGCTCTCTCGATGCTCCATTGGCTAATCAATGAAAAGGACAAGGTAAGGTTAAGTCTTTTTTCCTCTGCTCCTAATGATTTGAGTAGATCTCGCTTCCTCGCCATTCCACAAATACTCGCTTTGTCTCTGCTGGCTTTGTCTGTTCTCCAATCTGCCATGTTAACTAGGTTTATTCTGAATTCTTTCTGCCGGATAAATGTGTGCAGAATCTGATAGTTTTACGAAAGCTTTAATAACATGCGCAAATTCAGATCACAATGCTTGCTAATTCAAGTCACAATGTCTCATTTTGATATCATTATAACTGAAGCATCCTTGTTTTTTTATACAGATAATAAAGGTTGAAATGAAGGGCACTTTCATTTACAAAGCTCCAATAGCACGTGGTCAGGTTATATCGGAATAAATTTAAATGTGCATAAATTAGGATTGATTTACATTTTTTTTTCAAACAGACGTCTTGAAGAATTTATCTCGAAGGAGGTTAACAATTCGGTATGAGTTTAGAATTATTGTCCAGCGAAATATTCAAGTCCATTTCTATTTATTTGATTACCGGTGTAGACAAGATATCCATTACGCTCTATAATCTGGGATATTGCTAATGTACACAATACGTGATCAGGAGTTTTAAGCAGACTTATTTAAAACTTCCGTTGCTAGCTTTTTTTCCTTTAAGGCCTCTATCAGCTTATTATTGTTGTTATAAAATACAGTGGTTCATTTAAAAAGACAGTTAAGTATTTAAAAAGTTCCACGGAACAAGCTAGCTACCAAACAGCATTTCAAGCGTTTGTGCGCAAGGAATGGAAGGGTGAAATTTGTTCCAGTTGTAAAATGATGCGTCAGTGGGAGCCAGTGGTCCTAAAGCATTAAATTTACACGAATTTCAGATCCTTTTGGTGCAAATTCCATTTTGTCTTAAAAATTTTGAACAGGACATAGTTTAATTATACTGGGAAGAGTTGTACTTTCTAATGACCCTGTTTCCCCTAATACATTCTTAAAATGGGATCACTTACTATTTTTACATTCACCACACGTACGAAAAATACGAGTCGTGGTGCACACACTGATTTCGTTACTTTTTAACAGTTTTTTGTGTTCTGAGAATGTCTGTTATGCGCACATTGTCACACATCAAATTTACATTTCACTTAACTTCTTAACTGGTAAAATCGTGATCTTTTGACCTCTTCTGACTCACATTGATTTTTCCATTTTAAGCACAGGCTACCATTGGTTTCGTCTGTGCTAATTCTCTGTTGCGGAGAGCTGTACTATCAGACAGGTGGCCCTTAATAGCCAAACACATTTAGAAGCTTGTTTTCATCCACATATTTATTGATATGTCTACGATGTTGCATAAGCGGCTTGGAATGAGACTCAACGAATGACAAGCAAAATGAATGCATTCTCATCCGAACCACCTAATCATTCCCTGGAACGACAAGTTTGGTAGTATGCATCCCCTCTTGCAAGACCTTTTTACCAAAATCCCATTTACCGTGAATCCGTGTCTCACACGTAAGACCAAAATTTTGCGTGCCTAATTCGAAATTGTTTGTATCTTTCGTTAAATATAATGATCTACTCCTTTCGCTAACACCCCTTTAACGAATAAATGCTTTTTCATGCAATTTTCGAGTAAACCCCTTTCTCACCACTTGCCACTTCTTATAATAAACTATCCAAGGCACCCATTTACTGGCTAAGTGATTGCACTTGCCTCACTGAGAATCTCAATTTCCCTCGAAGATAACTGAAGTAATTAAAGCTTGAGGTATTGCAGCCACTAACACAACTGCAAATGTCCATCCTGTTCTCACGGTTTTGCTAAAGTCTTGCTGTGGAGCGATGCGTTGAGAAAAATCGTGTGTATATGTTCGGCTGCACCACAAAAAATTTTGTTTAGCAGTGCAATCGAAAAAATGTTAGGCAACACCAACGTGCGTGCGCCAAGTCCGTTATTCGACTATTTTCGTTGTTAAAAATTGGCAAGCCTAGCACAGAGCAAATCCACAGTCAGGTAGTACTTTTATGCGTGTAATTTACAGTTGCGGTTACTCAGACGAAAATATTTAGGCCTTTGAAATTTAAAACCATTTAATCAAGTTGGAATAAGATAAGTTGCTTTTCCGAAATAGGCCTATCTACTTTTAAAATATACTACTTCACAATTTAGCACACAAAATTAACTTTTTACAAGGAAGTACCTATGTTGGTAGCGTGTTTTCTTCCCTAAATCTGTTGTTTTGAGCATTAGAAGCAATTCTGAAACATTAAAGTAGATAATGCATAATTTTGCAAGTACTGTGTTTTCTAAATTATTTTTATTTGTCATATTTGACACTGATTTTTACCAGAAAAGAATATTGTTTTAATCTTTTTCATATCTGCGCATTTAATTAGCATCGAGGAAATGCGCATTTAAAGAGCCTTAACAGTTTTAGTTTTTTCGACAAAAAATGTATTTAATCTGCTGTCAAAGTGTGAAAATAGCGTTGACATTCAGTTAGATATTTTGTTCTTAAAATGAACCCATTTTGAATAAAGTTTAAAACCTGATTATCCTGGGGTTTTTCCTGAATACCACACAGTTGACTTTTTAAGCGGAACTGAAATGAAGCATAACCATCAATTTAGAAATTTCAAAATGATTCGAATTTCGTGTTCTAAGTGGCTGATTGCTGTAGAAATTATTCACGTTGGTTTAAGTATTCGTCTTGCTCATCATTGTGTTTTAATTTGGAAAAAAATAAACTATGTTTTTCGTTTTAGTTTAAGCACAAGTGATTTCGTTATTCTTCAACTAAATGCGTGAAAAGCTCTTAAACGTGCCAATTTACAAATGCCTATTCATGTTCACAAATTTGAGTTTTACGCATACCTCATTTCTTATGTTTGCTTTTTATTATGCTGAAGTTATTTTGAGCATTGTATCTTTGCCTTTCACATTTTGCGAAGCTTAATGCTCATCTGCTTGAAAAGCCTTGTATTTTTGTAATCAAATTGCACTTCATTTATACATATGACCAGTTTTGCGCAATTACTATTGTTGTCATTGTAGGCCAAAAAACATTATAAAGACGCTGTGGAATCTGTTGGCAAGGCTGAAAAATCTCATACGTTAGAAACTGAACTGGAGCAGTTAAAGCAGATGTTTGAATAACGGTGTGGTTTATGCTAATTATACCACAAATAAATTTGCCATTGTATAGTGTCATCCCGTTAGACAATAGCTCGGAACTGCGAAAATATATTCTTTGTCCTCAAGTATTTATTCTGTTATTATCAAATTTTTTTCCAGTCGTTGATTAGATAATCGTAACACTTTACCCTGCATGTAACAAATCAGATTAAAGTACAGGTGATACTTGTTAATAATGTTTCATGATAGTTTGTAAATTTTAAGTTGGCGTTCCTGTGAACTGAACTTAGTTAATATTGCAACAAAATAGTAATTCGATGAAGTAGGATTGTCTACACGCGAATGAGCCGTATAATAAGGCTTCAAACCGACGTATAATATTGTGAAACAAATATCAAATCATTAAATGCAAATTTTACAGTCGTCAAATGTAGAAATATGGTAAGGATTCTTTTCTCGAAATCCACAAAAGTGACTTCTGAAGTAAGAGCATCGTTCACGAAAGCTGAATGGTTGCAAAGCAGGGTAAGGGTTTTGCATAGTACAGTGGCACTTGCTAACGCGTAGCAAAAGGTTCCATTCTACTATCCCACATCATAAAAACCCAGGTAAGGATGAAGCAAGAAGTACATTTTTGGCACACACAGTGAACATTTGGTCACAACACATACTATATTTATGAAAACATTTTGCTCTAATAAATGTTCTCAAAAAGAAATTACACGTGTTTGCCTTTAAGGTCTAGGCTTTTTACTGTTTCCTCTGTTTTCGAATGTTTAGTTTTCAATTGGAGTTATCTTCATGTTGACCTAAAGATAAATATGTGTCTAACTACTTAGCGTATTACAGGTTATCCATCAAATCAATTGCCAATAGGCTAAAAAATTATTGATTCTCTATTAATTTAATGATGTTACTTCCTTCGACATTTATATGGGCTGGACGTTTTTGAGTCAAATTTGATATATATGCTTAATAGTGCATTTTTTGAACCACAATTAGGTGGTTTAAAAGTGTAATGAGTAAAGCAGCTGACTATGCTCCTACCTGCATTGTCCCAAACAGCAAAACAAGGCAAATGCCTGCGTAGGGAACCGTGATTAATCGAAATCTCTAGAGTTCTGTTGATGACGAAAGCATCCTATGCACTCATTGTAACAGAGAATTAACGCTGAAATCTAGTTACTATTGCAGGATTCCTATTAACCCCAAGAGACCAGAATTAGCATAATGTTACGCCTTTTATTACCATTGGATCCCATCACTATCCATCTCCAATAGATTAACTAACTGAAACAAGGCTTGTCGTCGTTTGACTCGATACATTACACAGTTCGGACTCTGTAAGATTGTCAAGTCTATGCTTTACTGCTTGAATACTTTCATGTTCATCTGGTTGAACTTGAAGCATTGAAGGCAATATCCTAATAATGCCACACAACCTAGTTGCTAAGGATCGTAGCCACGTCGTAGACTTTCTCGTACCCTCCAGTCATGCTCCAACAGTGTTTGAGTATTCAAAGACAAGCGAACCAGTAGGCAATATTCAAGATGAAGTCAGTGTTAGTCTAAGAGTGGTGATATCTGGTCTTTTCTTGTGTAGTGGGAGTTGACACACAAATAAGCAAATTTATGCAATATTATTGGCTGGATCCTTGAGAGTGACTTCAATGCGAAAGATGGTGCTGAATGTACTTAAGTCTTGTAATCCTGTGACATTTGATGACGTGATGACCACTTAAAGCGCACAGCTGTATTACTTCCATTCCGACTTTAATTAAAATTCAACAAAAAATAATATGTGGTCGGATGAAATTCATGTCATCATTGGTTCGCATCACAACTGAACACTATCCATGCTGAACTTAAAATGTGATTCGTGTTCATGGATTTCCTAGCGCAAATTACGCCGTGTTGTCTAACTTTTAAAAATCTGCAAGTGCTTTAATGAGCTAGTGAAATATTCTTTTATGTTAATTTTTGGAATGACTTTCTGCAATTTGTTAAATGCAGAAGAGTTGAACTGAGCAAAACTGACAACATACAATTTAGCTGTCAAACCATCTTGGATATGATGAGCAGGGTTTTGTGTGTTTGTCATCTGTTAAGTATTAAAATAAGGACTGCAATTAAAAGGGTATTCCTAAAGTAGGCTTTAGCATTTTATTAGGTGGCTTATAAGAAAATTGTAAGAATAAACGGTGTGATTAGTAACCTAGATATGTCATGTTATCTTTACATACTATTGTCAACTAAGTTGCATGAGTTAATACAACACCTTTTAACCAGTTTAAACATTTTAGCCATGAAGTTATTTTTTGAGATAATGTTTTGAGTAAATCTTTATAAATGTGCTTTAAATGATATCTTATCCTATTATGTATATGCACCTTTAGTTCAAACATTTGAGTAATACCTAAAACCTTGAAATTGAGGTTTTTACAACAGTACATCTAGGAGTTAGGTGCATAGAAACAAAGGTTTCTCGCAACAATTTCACCCATGGAATCTCGATGTGGAATTTAATTTTGGCACAAATGCTGTATTCGTCTTAAAGCGGAACCTAAATCGCCAAGATGGTTGTTAAAGGAGCTAAGTTGATTGGAGTAAATATATAAAAACATTAAAAAATGGACTTATTCGAGGTGTACAAAATAGCAGCCATCTGCATCCTAACTAGTTGCATGGCAATGAGAGTATGCGTAGGCATATCAATAAAAAAATTAACAAAACAATTTGTATCAAAACGATCATTGGTTTTCCTGGCCAAAATAATAGCAGTCTATTTATTTTGCATTTTATGTAATTTTAAGCTCTTAGGAATTGAAGGGAATAATCAAGTAAATTAACTAAAACGGATTTTAGTTCAAAACACTTGATTAATTATCAAAAAAGGGAATAATTTGTAGGAAGGGTTAATTTTGGCTTTAATAAGTGAGTTATGAATCTGCCAGTAGAATACATCGTTATTAAAGAGATTGCAAATTAATTGATTGCAAATTAAATAATTAATTGTATTTGCATTCAACATAGAATGCAGGAATGATTAAAAATTGTGTTATTCCATGCCATACAACTTGTTTTTTTTCATTTAGCGTAAAATATTTATTTTATACTGCAGCAATTGCCAAAAATTAATGAGGTTTGGGTAAATGTTTTGTTAAAAATTGGTGGTGACCTTGACTCTCCTCGCAGTTTGAATGCACGCAAAGGATGAGGGGGGCCATTGACGCAAGGAACGCGATCACAGACAATTTTGACAAGGACTTTTGTTGCACCTTTAATGCACAAAATTCTGCGTCCTCACTAAGTCGCTCATATTCGTCTACTAAAACTAGTGGAATGCTAAAAATACAACGGAGTTCAAGTTACATATTTGATCTTAGTGAAAGTATGGAAAACTCTGATGAATTAGTGTCAGTAATTGGTTCAACATGCCAATTATCAATGCCGAATCTGTCTTTTGTGTGTTTTAATGACAGAAATTTTGCGAGTGCGAAGATTCAGCGTTGCAGGTCTGCAGCACCCGACTACTTCAGTGAGGCGTTGCCGCGCATCGGTTCTAGTAACGCAAACCTTTCTTGTTTTATGAACAAGGGGCACGACGATTATGAAACAAGATTTAAGGATTTTGATTGCGTTGGCCATAATCACTCTGCTGATGCCTGTTCCGAAAATAAGTCCTGTGATCCTCCATCGCCAAGATCCTCCCCGAACTTCTTGGCAAATACATCTCCCTGTGAAGTACAAAAAATGTCCTCACAGTGTTATGTTAGCAGAGATGTAGATGCATCTGTTTGCGACAACACCTCAAATGACGCTGATATTTGTCCTCCGCTCATGTCGGGTACGTCATGTCAATGTAACCCTTGTGATATTGAAATGGAGGCCCGTATTATGCCAATGGTGATGGATTTTTCCCAGTTGGAAATGCGACTACCGGCTGAATCTGTGTCGCCTGATGAAAAGAAAGTGCTTAAAAGAGTAAGGGGTTAACTAATTCCATTAATATAGTGTAATCCTTTGAAACTAAGTTTTTTTACTTGATAGATGGCTGCTGAAAATGATCTCCTTCTCGTAACTGTTGGCAAAGGAAAATCCAAGTTTGTGGTTCTGCGTAAAAAGGCTAGTTTAATTCAGAGACAAGCCGAACAGAAGCAGGCTGAATTAGAAGCCAAAAAAGCGGAAGAACAAGCAATCGAAGAGGCCAAACGACTTGCCGAAGGTACAAAATGACAAGTCGCTGAAATATTTCCGTTTATTAATCTGTCATAGTAAATTGTTTTACAAAATGTTTTGTGGTTTAATTTCAGCGGAACAGGAGCGCTTGGCCCAGATTTCTGCCATCCCTTCGTATAACATTGCTTCCATACAAACTACTCCGTCCGAAATTGTTCGACAGAGTTTGGAGGTAGCGTAGATTATCTTGTCGATTGATTGTCGCTCGTTTGTAAGTAAAAGTAATTTTGTTTAGCTTAACAAAAGAAATAACCAAAATAAAGCGCGGCGGAACAGGCAGTGGGTTTTAAATCAAGAAGATTTGCCTTCCGAAACCCCGATGAACTCCGCAGCTAGACGAAAGGCGAAAAGGCAGGCTGATCGACAAAAAGCCAAACAGGAAGCGTTGGCCCAGCGTGCCAGAGAGCGAAGACGAAGAGAGGCCGTTGTTCAGACTTGCCCACCTGATTGGCTTATCTGCCCTTGGTGCAAAAATGTGAGCTTGATAATGTTACTTGCAATTTTTAGATAAATTTCACTGCTGCAGAATACTTTGATGGAATTAAATTGAATACCATTCTTTTTGTATGAACTAAGTTTTCTAATTTCACGGTGTTTGGTCAAAGGTGACATATTAATTGGATCCAAAGTCATAATTTTGTACATAATCCCATAAATCTGAAAAATCACCCTGCCTGCATATTTTTTTAATTCTTATGTCCTTGTTTTGGCAAATGGTTTATGCATATGTGTCGTTCGTTAATTAATGTGAATGTTTGAATAGTAGTGTTGTCATTTCGTCCTAGTAGATCTAAAAATTAAAGAATTGAATGATTCTTAAAAAATATTGCTGGTCTCGTGTTGTAAAATACAATTCAAGATTTTCTCCACGGAAGTTTTAGCCACTTGCGAAAATTCAATTTTTTCGATAATTTTTTTATCTTCAAATTTCATTCCTTTGCATCCGTATCTGTAAAACCCCTTCCAGGTGCAATTTCGTGTCATCATGACTAGTGACATATTTACCATTTAAAGTGCCTTAAAAACTCCAAATTAGTAAATAAGGGTTACACTGGTGATGTAATACCAATTCATAACGAAGCTCCGATATTTTTTTCGTGCTTTACAAAACACGTGTTTGGGCGCCGTATGACCTTTGTGGAACATGATCCAAATACGATTTGTAAATTTTACTGTTTTTTTCATTGCATGTGCGAAAAAATCATACGTTGATATACTTTATAGCAAATGTATGCTATTATCTTGTTACTCTAAAGTTACCCTTTTTCCAACAATTTTGTTGCCTTCACTTTACTTGTCTAAAATCATTTAAGTCGAATAGTGGTTGATAGCAGATCTGTGCAACTGACCTCGGATCGTGCCACTACGCCACCTTCATTTTAGGACATTCCTCCAGCTGAGCAATGTGGACACCTGGAACTCTGCAGAGCAGGTTACCGCCAACAGGACCGTGAGGCGAAGGCAAAAGCGCAGCTTGAGCACTACCGAATTGCTGCGGAGAATATGAGAAGACGGAAACAGAATCTGCCTCTTCTGCCCACCTCTAAAAAGTGCGAAAACACCCCGACACCAGTTCAGGAGAAAAATGTACACAGGAGCCTCTCTAGGAGAGGATCCAGCAGGTCACGCTCCAAACCAGTAAGCATTTTGAATATGCTTTTCTCGCCTATTAATTTGGTTTTATGCGTCGAAACCATCTTCTCGATGTACTTGCATAGACTAGAACGACTCACCACACCAAGTAAATTGTCTACCGGTTTTTTCGTTGGTTTGGCCTTGAATAGTCTTATTTATTTCATTGTAAGTTTGCGTTTATATTCACTAATGGCTTTTATTATACAATTGATGCGTAAGCCTGCCTTTGACTCCTCAATACCTGTTTTTTATTGGTCCTCGCGCTGGGAGCACAGGTGCTAATCATGTGGTACGCAACGTGGAATATCAGTGAATGGGTTTTGACCAACTTCACTGCTCATCGTTAATCCCTTCCCCAATCAAGGTGCACCACTCTGCTAGGCCCGATTTCGTCTAAAAATGTGTCAGTTGTGTCATCTCGTGACCACGATTCAATGCAGAGCCATGTTTGCGTTAATAATTTTCGGCGTTTTAAAATCACACCGATGAGGTTTTTAGTGCCCTTCACTGCTGCTCGTGAGGTTGCTGGACTAGTTCCACACCCTGGCACTTCCTCGCTTCAATTAGTCAAGCATTTTCCACATGTAAATTTTTCAGCATTGTAGTTAACTTAGGACAGTAATTAGGTTAGACAGATCACATCTCTAAACTCTCGCAGCAGCCTGGTTAACTGCGCGGACCTCCATCTTCGCACATTACTTGGTCTCAAAACAGACGACGCATAAGCTGGGTGGTCGGTGATCTCTCCCCACACGAGCACCAGAAAGCCATTTAGATATGTTGTAAATTGATGTAGTTGTTCGACCTCCGTGGTTACTCAAGGCACGTCTAAATACGGTTGTGCCAGAGGTGTTTGCATAGCTTGCTCAATTTTGCATTACAACAGTGAAACGAAATGCCTATTGATGTTTAAATAGCACAACTATTGAGCTGGGGCACCAAGTATGCAAATTATATGAACGCATTTATACCTTGACACGTCAATACTTAAACTTCGACATCACTTGTGTGTGTTTTTGACTAACACTGTATTCCGCAAGGCATCACCGTTTATCTTTTCTGCATCGGTCGGTCTCACTTCGATGTTGACTAAGGCGGCTCGCGCCACTGGCTTCTGCCCTGAGAGTACCACGTTAGCGCAAAACCACAGTCCGTCGTGTCGTGTGTGCGGCCTGCAGCACACTGTGAGACGAGCACGTCGAATGCGGGCACACCGGTGCCAATCAGTAGGCGCCTGTGAGAGCGCGCCCTCGTGAGTGCTGCCTCAGGCCCACATGCGGGTGAGGAGGTGTGTGTGTGTGCTCCTGCGCACGACTTGCTGACTCATCGTGGCATCGCGCGCACACACCGCACTCGTCTTCTCTCCACACCAAGATACACCCACTCAGCCACGAAGGTGTAGGCTTTCGATCACCTGCACAACGGTTAAACAGCATTAAGTTTTGAGTGGGATTAAACCATTAGTAATGTGAAATAACACGCTTCGCCCTGAGTTTATTATTTCAATCCTTAAAATACGACTTAATACCTCGGTTTTTGACTCTTGAACTGTTTTAGCGAATAAATCACATTCAGTTTCTGGCATTTTATGTTGAGCAACTGCATCTAAAGCTAATCTTACACAATAATTCACTATCGCGTATTTATTTGTCCTTAAATAAATTCTGCACCCACATTTAATCGTAACAACCAAGGTTCTTAAAAATTATCCTCTCTACTGACACTTAAAGGTAGATGTGTTTTTCTAGACCGATGCAAATTTGTCTGCCGCCCTGAAGAAGCAGGCCTTGATTGAAGCCCAACTGAAAACTGTCCACCCGAACGACGTAAACGGAATGGTTCGAGCCACTCACAGTGTCTGTGCTCATCCGGATTGCGTGCGCCTCATTGGATCGCTAGCTGGGAGCTCGTGCGCCTACTGCAGTTTGACCCTCTGTCCCCAGCACCGGCCGCCCCACACGGGCCACGAATGCAGCGCCGCGCCCAAGCCTAAACCACCCAAGCAACCGACGAACAAACACGTAGACATCGCCGCTGGTGAGGACCTGGAGGAGAGGCAGGCCTTCCTTAAGGAGAGATTAAGGGAGCGCCTGAAGGGATATGCTGAAAAGCGAAGAAGGTGACGGCTCATCGTTCACTTCCTTCGTCAATTATGCGGTGGCAACTTCCAAAGTGTTTAATTCTGCCTTACCTCCTTATGCATTCTTTCATTTTTCTAAAGAGGAAATGATATTATTCACGTATGTTCCGTTGAAAGCTGAACCAACGTATTTGGTACTTTCGTGGTGGGATTAAAGTGTTCTTTTTCACGTACCACTCATTTGTCCTAGACTTGACGTTGGTCATGCCTTGTGCTTCAAGCCATTCCATCATCAGTAATGACCTTGAGAAGGAGGCCATCTATGTCAGATTTTGGTAGTTTCACTTGACATAATTTGCACCTCGGTTCAGCAGCAATTTGAAATCAGCTTCACTCTTTAAACTATTGTGCGTGATTGCTCAAGCTGCAATAACCCTAATTTGGAAGTCGTGTTTGGCAGTTTTGCTACCACTACTACTTTTAATTGTTGTGAACCGACTGGCAGCGACAAGCTTCCCTCTTTTGCAATCTGACGAACACTCAGAAATTCTCGGTGTATGGAACGCAAATGTGCAAATATATTCCAAATTGTCTCATAATCGGTTGCGTTAGGCAAAATGTCGCTCTAGGTAGCTGACGTATCTAGCAGGAACCCCAAGCATTGCGATGACGTGTATGTGATCACTTCGATCGCCTATACATTGCTTTCGTGAATTTGTTCTCCATGCGCTTTAATAGTATCTAGAGGTTTTAGCTTTTTTGCAATTTACTTACCAAAAGCAAAACATTGAGCAGACATTTCTTGTATAATAATTTGAGTGTGTTAAAGGTTGAAGTCATTGTGCCCCATTCTTGTTCTTAACCAAACGAGTAGCGTGCAATGAAAGACATGCCCCTATCTGACAGTTCTGCCTGATGTCTGGGATAGTTGTTTGAAGCAACTAGACGTTGTCGTGTCAGTGGATCGGTATTATGCAGATGACTATACTCCGACGGATTAATAAGGCCTTGTTGATACTCATAGGTGTCAAATTGAATTCGCATTAATTAAAACAAAACGCCACATTGTCCACTCCTAATTACGAATGGGTAATTGGAACTGCGTTTAATTGAACACTTCACTATTGTCCAAAATAGAGGAGTTAGTAGCCTGTGTAGTCGCGATGGCAGTGCGACCAGTCAATTCCACAGGTGCCTAGAAGCGTTCAGTACCGAGCACTCTGTGGCAATTGTCACTCTGGTTAGAACTAGTTTTTGCTGACCCAACTTCCTCATAGGTTGCACCAACCTTTAAGGGAGATCAGAAGATATATTCAGTAAATATGCCCACAGCATACCAGAGTTTCTTTCTTCTTTGAAAATTACAGTAGAGGTTGAAATGCATAGAGTTACCAAAGAAGCCATTGCTTCACACATTTGAATTAATATTTTAAAGTTGGGAAAATTCATGCAAAATTCTGAATTTTGACCAATCTAAAATTTTACTAATGTTTTCGTTTGTTGGCCGGGAGGTTGCTCTAAATTAGCCCAGGCTAAAACATCGGACAAGAAGCTTGAATGAAAGCTTCTTGGAACTACGCTTTGATAGGGGAACATTATTAGTTGGTCAGAACATGAGCATTTAATGTGTAGAATGTTTATTAAAATTCCCACACACGGAGAAGGTTGAAGCTTAGTCGGCGGTTAAGGAACGAGTATTCCTTCTTTGGTTCAGAAATCGGACAGAAAACTGCCTTAATCCCTTCCTATTCAAATGCTAGTAGTGACTTTTACCACCGGGGTCTGTAGATCAACTTGTCACATGCATTTCCTGATCAAAGTGTAGAAAGAATTTCGTAGAGGGTTTCAGGTTAATCCACTTCTTCTAAATCATAAGATGTCCCACGACAACGTTTGGGCAGCAGCAAAAGTCACGTGACATGAATCCGAGACACGTGGGAAGGATTGATCTCGTGCGCGACTGCATTGTGACCCAATTCAAACCAGTCAATCAATAACAGCTACCTCGGCTGCAGAGGCGGCGTACCATAGGCTCTCGGTGTGCCACTTATCATTTTTAAAGTCTCATTCACGATGTCCAAGTTATCTCCTGAAAACATCAACATTCTCTCCATTAGAGCCTACTATGATAATAAGACCGCCACAAATACGACAGAGATGGCCAACTTGCTAAAATATGAGAGCCAACACTTTCGCTGCAAGGTGCAGGTTGAGCTTCCAGAGTGCGTTGCGGACAGATGTTGGAGCATCGGTTTAGTTCAGGCTTGCGATCGTATGTACTTAGAAAACCGCTATGGGCAAAGTGGTAGCTCTTTCTGGGAATTCCATCCTCTAAAGAGCGGACGCCATAAGATGGTCAATGACAGCGACGGACGACAATACCCATTTTACAGTTTAACTAGCAGTAAATTTGAAGTTAGACGGGGTGTAGTCTCCGAAAGTCTCATATCTCTTACCTACGAAGACCACTTCTACCCAACAGTCGCATGGGAATTACCTTATTACGGCGGAGCAAAGCTAACTGATGTTATCCGAAAACAGGATTTCTGGGTATGGTTGGTTGCCATCAAGCGAGCTAGTTCCCGAAGCTCAACCAGTGATGTTTTCAATGCCAAAAACGATGAAATTTACGTTTTAAAAACAATGCGGTGGCGCTACAACCTTCATATGACTTTTGACCCAAATCAACCGATAGGACGACGACTTCAACGAATCTATGACGCTCAGGAGGAGCAGCCAGTGATCCTTGAGACTAACAGACCTTTGCCATTGTCCGCACTCAGTCCGCCTCATTGCAACGCCGCACAGTCTTTAATCTGGTACCCAAATAACCCCAGTGATAAACCAAAGCTCTTAGTTCCACCCAAACAAATCATTGTTCCTTGGGATACATGGACTAACGACATGGCTCCTGGACGCCACCTCACCGTAAAGAAGCCTGAACAATGCAAGATGGTTGGTGAGTGGGCCCACGATGCTGAGATAGGTGTTGATGTTAACACAATGTCTGGAATTGCGAATAACAGAGGACATGGAACGGCGGAAGCAGGGAGTAGTCGACAGCGCATGTCAAGTCGTGCACGTGGCTAAATCTCCTGTCCTCTGGGCAAGATTAATGAGGAAATCAATGGTGATTTCCAGTTCCATGTACATACAATCTTGCTCGAAAAACCACAACATACCTTTTATCGGCAAAATCACCGAGTCAGAACACCATCAAAAGGGTGATTCTGTGCGGTTACTTCCGATTTTTCTTGAGACAACTTTTGCTTTAACATATGCGAGACCCTAGTTACTTTGGGCGCCATTCTAAGTGGTACGTGTCAATTCCGCCTGAATTGTCATTTTAATTCATATTAAGATGCTCGAGTGAATGCACTGGCGCCGAAAAATCTCCATTCTTTTCACTTTTATTTGTTTTTTTTAGTAAATAATTTAATCGACCCGTACTACAAAAATGCGCTGTTTTGTCTACCTATTCATAAATGTGGAAATATGCTTTGTTGTGTAAAAATTTGTTTTTATGTATTGATCACAGTCCATACTTTGTGTTTTTTCTAATGATGGGCTACATTTAGTCTCTAAGCGTGTAATCGTCTCCACCTGATCCGTTCGGCTGGAACATTGCCCGTTGCGTGCGCAAATGCATCGATGTATCTACCCAGCAAGCAAATTTTCCTTAAACCACAAAGTTACTGGCCTTAATTAATCACCGGAACACGATCACAGTGTTATTAAGTTGGAAAATTTATAATCAAGTGCCTTATTCAGTATGATGCTGCTTAAGTTTGAGCAGGCGGAATCTAAATGATCATTAATGCCTTAATGTCCTGCAACTAGTACGTCAGAAACAAAAACAACTGAACGCCTGAATTCGGGGGAAAAAATACAGGCCATTTAGCTACTGGCAGATCAGAGCGAAAACTTGGAGTTAGCATTGATAGCCTCAAAAGGGCTCTACTTTAAGGGTGCTTTGATATTTCAGGTTTCCTATGATTCAAACTAGAAGACAGTCCGTTAGCAAAAATAATAGTAGGACATCTTTTAGTGTCTCGAGTGCTTAATGAAGTCAGGGATCTTTTGACTAATAATACTATTAAATGTCCATTTGGCAGGCAGGTTATGCCCAAAATGCGACTTTAACCCACTGGGAAGTAAAATCGAACGAAAGCAATTTGTTTTTAGCCGGAAAAACATTTGGTGTCAGTCAGCTTGTTGCTTCGGCTGGTTTTTATCTACATAATTTGCAGTCGTCAAGAATTGTAGAAAGTTATGTAGAAATTTCTCCTTGTTAAGGAGCATCGTTATAGATTAAGTATAACGAGTTTATTTACTTGCGAGAGCCTTTTTAGCAATCTTATTAGCGCTCGGGCGAATTTGTTACTCTTTCACCTTTCAAATGAACATATTAAAGACCTCAGCAGTCACTAACGTTATCTGACCCTTATTGGTACCCTATTCCTCACATCCATGCAGTTTCCTTCAAAGTCAGACAGAAATTGTCTTGTCAGGAATTGAACAGATCAAAACTTATAATGGATGATGAATCGGTAAACTATCGCGAGTGTTCTATACTGCGTTTCGCTGGGACAATTGACCTCGACCTGAAGTCGAATAAATCTCTAAGCAACTAGTCATTAATGAACTTAAATTGGCGTTTCAAACGGTCATTCAAAGCCACAAGCAATTATTTCAAGTAAACTTCAACCAGAATAGACCCGTTTCAGCCTTTTGTCAAATGCTTCGTTGGAGACGTACCTTACTTTGAAACACAGTCATCATGTACGGGTAGGACGTGAGTTTACACTTCGCGCTAATAACATTCCCTTAAGTACAACATCTGGAAGGAGGTCTCCTAGCAAGTACAAACATTTATAAACATTCCGTTCTGCATTTACATGTCAACGTCCACTACGTCCTTCGGTTGGTGACTCTTTCGTCTGGTGTAACATTCGCCTTCCGGACGGGCGTTTTCTACAGGTTCATCTTAACATAGATGGACCTTTTCCATTGATTTGTGAATTTTCCTGCAAACTCAAGTGTGGAAATCAGTTTGCTTTTATCTGTTACTCAAAGCAGTTATTGAAATGGGTGTCGGTAGTCGATTTCATCGCCTCGGATCACACGACTCGATTTATACGTACCATGTTTCAGGATTGCTGCGCTCATGGAACTTCAAGTGTGGTATCCACGTGAATGGTCAAACGTGTTGTAAAAGCCGCATCCACTGCTTGCTTAGAAGCACAGGTCATCATTCACCTGGCTGTCTTTATTACCGAAAAAGACATTAAGACTGCGTTTGGTAGGTTCGATGATGACTGATTCCGAAGTAACCGTCAAACTCCTTCTACCTGCTCCCATGAAGAAGTTTTGTCTTGCTTCAACCTCATCTTTTTGCATTTGCACGTTCTTGCCTGTATCGATGACGTCAACGGGCCTCTACAAATGCCCTCGAAAGCACATTCCTTCACTTCCCAGGAACAAGCTTCAATTGCTTGAAAGTTGCCTCCATCTCAAACCAATGGTATTTCGCTTTCTCTCATTTGGAACTATGCGTCTACGGTGTTGTTGACGTCTTAAACCCCCTAATGTATAATTTATTTTTAGCATCTCTCTACTGAAAGGGCAACGCCCAAATGAAAAATGGCAAAAAAACTACCATTCATCAGTTGTTAGCCATAGTATTGAGTTTTGGGGAGTTTCGTCGTTGTTTAGTCACTCTAAGAAGCAAGTCTTTCCAAAACCATATAAATTTGAAAGTCAGCACACTTCTGGTTCCTCACACATGAAAGGATATTTGACAAATGAGGACTGATTGCGAAGGGCTTGTAGGTAATGTAAGCCATAATCGCATTCATTTAAATTTAGATGTTATCGGTGAGGACTGAAGAAATATATTATAGCTGTAGTTTCAATTTGCTGAATGTTTTATTGTAATCATGAAAACCGCACTAAACGTAGAATTCATCTGACAAATATGGTGAGTCAGAGTGCCATGCTGGTAATTTAAAACTTTTAATCACGACAGAAAATGCACTTGTAACTGGAACATCTTTGAGGAAGCCTCCGGCGTCAAACCGTCTTCAGTGTTTGGCGTGAACATGGGCTTGGTGTCCAAAATGCATCCAGATAAACAAGTTCTTGAGCCCTAGTTGGATTTTAACGAATATTTTGGCAATACTTGTTTAATGAGTGTATTAGCACTTCGATTGTGTAAAATCAGCCCTTCAGAACCATAAGGCTGAAATTCATGAGTAAGGTTTTTTTTAAATACATGAGACATAAGGAGCGGGGAATTAGGCGCTTAAATGTAATTAGAAAGGGGTTATACTAGTAGACATTGTGCAAATTTAATTGCCTTGAGGGTTTAAATAAAAAGCATTTTTGTGCATTCCATAACCAGTGCATAAGATCATAGATCAAGGCAGCTTTCTAATTAGCCTCCCTATATCCAATAATCTGCACCCCGACCACACGAAGTTGCACGTAGGTAGAGCAACAAAGTCTTTAGGTTCCTACGGAAAAGAGGAAACCGACTGCAGTGAAAATCTGAGCGCTGTTTGTCAAATTGCTTCGCCAGTCTTTTTGACTAAACCTAGTAGAATTTTCTTAGAAAGGTGAAATTAATGTGAGCGAAACATCTTCTCAATAACTCGACGTGCTGTTGTTTCGGTCTTCTACACACTGCAGTCCAATGACAAGGAATAAAATTAAATTTTCAGTGACCGGTGTTGTCATGACGGTGAGAAGGAAGCAGAAAAGTCGCGAACGGCACTGCACTTTGCTCTCAAATGACATGCATGGTGTGGATTCGTTTAATTGTTCCTAAATTTTCCAAAATGAATTTTAATTGCATTGCAATTCCAGCAGTTATGGACATGCGTCTTAACTTCATTTCAGATAGCTGCAGTGTATCAGTTATCTGAATGTTCTTTAGAGTAACTACCCAATTCAGAAATGCAAGTTATGGGCTTTGAGTGGAAACCTCAAAGCACACGCAAGTCAGGTCACGCAAATTAATGAAAACGACTTTGATTATATCTAAGCACGAGAACATGGTAATCCGATTTGGGTTAGTAATCAGTGCTGGAGAACTAATATAACCAAAGTAAATAGTTGGACATAAATAATTCTCGCCATTTTGTAACCGGTGATCCCAAGGACTTCTCCACAGGGCGTTTACTTCTGACCTTCTCATTTCTGCTTGACATCACTCTAGAATCCTCTTGGGGTTCCAAAATGGTCTCGGAGTCTCTTAACCTCCACATTTACCGAGTAGCTGGGTGGTGATGTTAAATTTAAGTTACAAACACTCCAATGCTGCTTCATGTGCTCTAGGCGTAGTACAAATTTTAAAATATTCCCTGTTCTGTTCGTTGAATATCATGTCCGTAGGAAAGACTGTTGATTAATTAGGTTGGTTCCAAAGCCAAAATTTTAACAGTTACGCTACTCAAATTTAAAGCATTAGTTCCATCAAACTTGACTAGCTTGACTCAAATTTGACTGACGTTCCTCCAAGAATTAACAATTCATAAAATGATGAGCACCTTTATAGTCTCATGGTCAAAAAAAACAATTGTATGAGTATTTTTAACAGGGAAACGTTTACGAAACGGCAAAAGAAACCAAATCTGCAAAGGACTCTAATTGGGGCTAGAGGTGGCGTGAGATTACTAAACAAAACAGTTTAAGTGGTTTTGGGAATCAGTAGATTAACCAAATTGTAACGACCCATGACAAAGTTCTGGAGATGGACCAGTTTCAAATATTCTCTCTGGTTCCCTGAAAAATCTGCTTACTTTACTACTGACTACTTTAAATAATCCTTAAGTTCTATAGTAAATACAGATTTTGATGGTCATTTAAGATCTAACATGCTTGTGAGTGGATACATCTAGATCGAATTTGTTTGGTGGTTGCTAAGGCAACGGTGTTTTTGACTTTTTACCTTTGAGTTTGGATTCACATGTCGTGTGTTTAGTCACTGATTTAGGGATGAAAGCATTATTTGATCGAAATAAACTGTTGCGAAACGAATTATGCTGCCTTTTAGTGCGTTAGAAATATGCATCAAATTTGTACCTTTAGCTGGACTGTAGGGGACTGTCTGCGTGTTTGTGTCCAAGTATATGTAAGGTATTCGAAATGAGTTTCAAGTTGCAGTGTGCGGTAAAACTCACTTTCCTCTGCTATGATGTGATTTTTCTGCTGGTCACGAGAACATTATCTGGGATTCTATATGCGGCGCTTTTGGGGTAGTTAACTCTACCCAAGGATATGGTTTTTTAGAAAACAAATTTTTAATTACTTTATGCAAATCATTTTCTGTTCACTATCGGTCGCGCTGTTTTCCTGTTTACTTTGGGAAATGTTTAGTTAGTGAAGCGGCTTTTTTGATGTTGGAAGTATTCATGTTTCTGCACACATTCAAACTGCCCCAGTCGCAAACAATATAACAGCGTTTGCCTACGATTCACAAAATGGGTTCAAATTTAATCTCGATCCTGACGACATTAAAAACCTGTTTCAATTCTATCCAGTATCACTAAGCAACGTCTTGAAGGCCCTACTAATTGCTTGTACAATTGTCCCGTAAACAGATCAAATGGCAGTTGACAAGACCATTCCTCCAACCCGGAATAGTCGTGAACCTCAGCAAGGAACACACCTCGTATTCAACCCGAAGAAGAGCTGATTATTCTTCAACAGAGAAAGTTTTTTTTAGGAAAGTCAGCTGTTTCCATGATTAGGCCTGTTTTGGTAAAACCAAAGTGAATACTACTCCTCCACCGGTTATAACAACTGCAGTGGGCATCCACACATGCTAGGAGGCTGTATGTTTTGGACCACCAAAGGGGGAAACAGTCACTTTGAATTTTGAGTTGCACTATTATTTGATAGGAAAAAACATAAAAGTTTAGGATATGAGTATTAAACTCTTGTTACAAAACTGATAAGCAAAACCTTAAAAAGGTCGGCTTTACTTTCTGGTGGGCTGAATGTTAAGCTCACTTCACAGGAAATAGTTTGTTTTTTTTTTAAGTTAAATAACATCATCTGCATTTGTAATGGAATAAATTATGCCGGAGTTGCCCAACTGGCACATAAATTTTGCTTCAGCAAATGCAGCGAGATTCACTCACGAATTTATTTTGCACAAATTGAATTGTAGAGGACGCATGAATGAACTAATTTGGCATCTTCTTTAGTCACGTTTCACTATTTCCACCCAGGCAAAAAGCCCAGTTATCTACGACAGCCCATCATTCCCCCTCAATCTGCTTAATTTGCCTCACAATCCTACAGCTGCAATTTTCTGATGGCATCTTCTAAATCGTAGTCAGTCTTTTACTTATCGTGTCCATTTATGTCCTACACTTTTGGTATTTATTTCGATGCTTTTTTTAGTTTTTAAAAACCGACTGAACAAAATAGTATTCATTTTAAAGTTTTGGTACCACAAAGGTTTTTCAAGTTTATAGTCAGGATCAACTGAATATGCTTTTGTAAGTCTATGTTTTTGGGATTTATCTGCATGCCTGAGTCAAATGGGTAATGTTCGTGGTATTGGAGCCACAAGGATGTAAGTCATGTAGTTTGCATTTTTTACCAAGATATTTTTACAACTTAGATAATAACTACAAAAAAACAGAATCCAAAATACCAAAAATGCATTCAGTTTAAAGGTTTGCTGTAGACAAGCTAGCTTCATAACACCACCTTAACAGAATCCTTTTGCAGTCTTTGTGTTGAATTCATTGCTAATGGATACCAAAACAAACTGGTGTTTGTGGTCAATTTTTTTAACGTGAACGCTTATTCATCGAAACAGCTACCGCACAGAGTAGACCAGTATTCTCTTCTGACTTAATAATGGACGTGTTTGGGCTGTCAGCAAACGTTAAACTCAACAATGACATTTTATCTATGAATTCGACAAAGGCATTGACTTGAAGGAGTAGGCACAACTTTATCAGCGTCAGGTTCCTAAATAATAATATTGTGGACCGTGAACAATTTCTAAAGGCAGTAGGTTGTAAACAGCACGATGTCCGAGATCACGTGAGCAATTTGTTACTGTTATGAGACTAGGTTTATTTAATGTGTATGTTCGGGATCTCGGACACAGGCGAACGATTTCCGCGCTTAATTCCCCTAATAGAAAAATGGAAATTTTAAATGAATATTAATGCGTAACTCCTCCGCCACTACAGATATTCCTGTCGATCGCATTGAAGCAAGTTAATGTTAAATGAATTGATTTATGAAATCTTCGACCATCATGTCATTTATCTTCATCGGAAGTTTGTTCATTTTAAATATTGATTACCATGCTCGGTAAAATGTTCACTTTTAGCCAATGGATTAGGGTGGGTTTGGTTACCTACACACGAAGCCAGATGGTGTTCTATCGTGTGCTGGAAAGAAAGCTGTCGGGAGAAAAGGCAAGATGCGAAAGAAAAACGAATCACATTAGGTGAGTATTCATAAAACAATAGAATAAGACTACTGGAAAGCGTAATCTGTGCGTGTATATAACGTGCAGCGTCGCCTCTGATTGAAATTTATTACTTTTTTGAATCTTATATCACAAGGTAAGTAGCTGTGGTTTGAATGATTTATTAAACATAGTATTGAAGCCGGCTGCACCGACTGAGTGCACAAAAATTGAAATAGGTTAGCACTCGACCTACCTCGAGTTGTGGTTTGGTTCGATAGCGATGCTAGAACCCTTCTGAACGCACTTAGCGTCATTTATTTTACAGTAAGTTCACAATCTTTATTCCGTGTTAGTGCTGGTGGAATTATCGGTTACATTTACCCGCATTACATAACAGGGTTTGGGATGAGAAAGTGGATTAGTGGTTTCTGGTGCTTTCTTGTTGAACTTCAACGGTTCTGATTTGACTGAGTAGATAGGAAATCGTGGCGAAGCCGAATTATGCCGTAATCGCTTAGCTGTAAGTAAATCCAATCCAGCTGAATTCCTCCGCAATTCAGTCTTGTATTGCTGGTGTGAAACGTCCTCTAGTGAGCGGGATGCACAGCCTGGTTTAAGGGCAAGCATGGGGATTTCTTCATCAGAGCCTTGAAAGAGACGAATCGGATAGAATCCTAACTTCGAGTAGGTGAGCGGGGGCATAGGCGAATCCAGCTCTCTTTCAAGAGACCCACGAGAGTGTTGTCCACTTGGAGTGCTCGAAGCGTTGGCCAGAAGAGACACAGTTGATAGATTAAGTTCACGAAATACACCACTTAGTGGTGGCTCTAATAAGCTATGATCCAGAAAACAATGGCACGTTGGATCCATTTTGCAGCCAAACGCGCAGCTGAGGCTTTGCAAATAACGCTGCTAAGATAGTCTCCAAAATAACCATGTCTCTATTCCACTATCTGTCCCATTTCGATGAAATTGATTGGTCTACAGCTAGCCAATAGCATGGAAGGATTCACCTTAAAAATGTCTCCATTCAACCTTAATGGTGAGGCGCGTAGTTTAAAAATTCCGTGCTCACAAGCCAAGAAATGTACGATGCCATCTCCCATAATAATTACCTTATGAGTTAAGTAGCTGTATACCAACATAATAATAAGTGCGAATTATCTAAAAAAAACAGAATTTGACGGGAAACAAACACTATTGTGAAGTCTTACCATTTTTCCTCTACTAAAATGTCTTTAAATGCAAAATGCTGACACAAGCAGTCGTGTTACCAAAAAAATTGAATGTACATGGCCTCTAAATTGTAAGCGGTCCTTGAATTTCTATTTGGTGTGCAAAAGATTTTAAAATGAATGCAATTTGCTATAAACTCGGAATATGTATCATTTTAATACTGATCTAAAATGCCAAAAGAAATGGCGGAAGAAATCAAATTAACATTTTGCTTTGCATTGTGCTCCAATTTCCGATGAGAACAACATGATGCATAGTCAATTAATGTAAGCTGGTAGCAATCGTATTCGGGTTACATAATTCCTGTGCCATGTACTAAGTTTCTATTTTTATACTGACAAACATCGTTAATTAGTAAGTTGGCATTGCAGTAAGTAGTAGCGCCATCAAAAGCAGGCATGGAAACTCCAACTAAAGATTGTGTTACTAATATGTGGTGAATATGACCCGAAAATCGATTTTATAACTTTGCTTTATTTTGATAGCACTTAAATTTATCATTTACTTAGGTGACCACAGTCTTGCATGAATTAAGGAACAGCAAGCAGCCAGCTGCCTGCGCTCTTGCTGCTGAGAAAAAATCAGATCTCTCATGTTAACTAAAAAAATATAACGAACAGGGAGGACGATAGTTGTAAAAAATACGTTGTCGTATGCCTGCTGTTGGCGCTGACTGGAGGAAGCGTCGTTGGTCTTTGGTCGATTTCTCGGTTGACTGTCTGTTCATAGATCAAGAATACTTACACAAACCTTTCACTGGTTTTGAAGGTTGCGAGTTTTTTTTCCAAGCTGCATAAAGTTCTCATCTTTATGAAGAAATTCAGTTACATGTTCCAGAGCTAGAAAAGTATAATTTGAAGATTTCTCGAAAGTCGTAAGAATATCTGCTCAAGTCAGGCCTTATTTTAACTATGTTTGGTTTTTTACAGTTAAAGACTATTTAAAATATTTTCACCGTGATTATTCAGAGATGAATTTTTTTTAGCGAAGCTATCTTTCTTTAAACAAGCTCACTGTGTGAATCAGCTAGACAGTGAATTTTTTTTCAATCTGGGTAAACCCTAAATCTCTTGTAAATTACAATTGATTGGTACCTCAAAAAACAGTTATCACGGTTACTTGTACTTACATAAAATCACATGAATTCAAATCCTAATAGAAGTAATTGGAATATTTTCACATAAATTGAGGAATTATATGTTAATTACTAGGTGTGATTTACGAGAAGTCGCATATACCTCCATTTGGCATTTGGCCAATTAGCAAAGAAAACTTATGCTCAAACGCATGGAATTCTGGCTCAATTAGCAAAATTTATTAAGCCCCAATGATATTAATTTTTAGACACTTAAAGAGCTATTTGTAAATTATTTATACAACCAGGTAATAGATCGTCATGCCGTAAACGTGCTGCGATTAAAAGGTAGTAAATTAATTTTTATTAATTTTTGTCTATACTTAATAAACAATTAACACACTAAAGATTTTCACCAATGTCACGAACACCGTCTTGTAATTTTGCGTCCTGGCTTCTAATCAAATAACTTAATCCATGGGCTGCATGCATACCACAATATTTGTATGCCAACCTTTAACCTCGAACGTTAAAATATCTTAAGTGACAATTTTAAACTTAGTCACTTGGTCAGGAAATAGTATTAAATGGTCGGTTCATTTAAAACCACGTCACTTATTTGGACGTTATTAAATTTATGTTGATTCGGAAACTGTAGTTAACTTTAACAGATGTGATATCTGAATAGCTTTTGCAGATAACCATGAAGCCAAAGTAAACATTGAGTCTGTTCTTATTTCCAGCAAAAACAATTTTGACAATTCTAGAAGTGTATTAAACAAAACTAACTTTTACGCTCAAAATGCATTGGAAGGAAAGTTTACAATATATGTGTATCCCAATAATGCAAATATGGGATCAAGGTAATGAGCTATTAAATCCACGGAGAAATTAAACCTTAGTAAACACCGGGTAATGCATTATGTATTTAAAATGACCAACAACAATGACTATTTTTTTTTCGCATTTTTGGAAGTGCAGGCTGAGTGGAAATTTTGGTAAGGCTAAAAGAACTAATCAGATAAATCTATGATTGGCAACACTGAAATAAATCATTGCTTTTTTTCTCTGGCCTGTTTGTAATGTTTCAAAGCTTGGCACCTGAGGATCCTTTCAACGAAATTAACCATAATCAAGGTATCAAAAATTGTACCTATCAAGTCGGAAACCACACTTGTTATGAAACCTGAGTTTTTTTATGAAGCCTGAGCTTTTTCCGTTTAGCAATAGTCTACTCACTCTTATGGTGTTTGTCCTTGAATTCACCGCCTGGAATGCTGGCTTCTGTGGCTATCTACAATTGCACTACCTAGGTGGCCTTACACTGCCTACTATTAGGACAGCAGGCATCCACATTCCACCTTAGCATTTAAAGTTACACCAATCTTTCCCTTACGTAAAAAAACCACATATTTCACCATCATGTTTTCATGTATTTCTCATATTTGTCTTTAAAAAGCATAATACTAATCATTTTTTTTATTTCCGAGCCGCATGCTCGTAGTTCCCTCACATAAAAATGCCAGCTTTGCATTCACCAAAGTTGTGTTGTTCGAAATAGAGAAGATTGGATTGAAAAATGTACCGGTAAGCACACTCCTGTTTGACTGAACTGTATAACAATGTAGCTGTTGTTTCTTTTGGTGTCTAAAGAATTTAATCAAATGTAAATAAATTTTTGGCACCCTCTTTTTACCCACGAATAACTTGCCGCTTAAATATTAGCAGTCTGTATACATAACCAACAGAGTTGCCATTTTATTTTTCTTGATAAATCCATTATCCTAAGCTAAAGCCGAAAATTCAAGGGACATCTGCGGGTGTTGAGTCTCAAATGGCACTGTAAGGTTTCGAATCGGCCCCTTTATGTCCAGCGGGTAAACAAATGATCAGGCCTTTTGTGGTTTCGAATTTTTTTTCATTTTCTCTAGTAGTTCATTTCAATGCGTCCATTAATTGCGGGATTGAAAAAACGCAATGTAATGTAGAAAAAGATTAAATGAAAATCGGCCAATCGTTCAAATCGAGTTAAGATTTACGACCGCGTTAACAACTGGTTTATTTTGTGCATATCTGACTGCGCAGTAATAAATTCTCTTGGGTAAAGATATAGAAGATACAGATTCTTTAGTTACCACACATTCTCAAAATCACACTGCTTACCTTTCGAAATACCACCTGGATTTTAGTTTGGTCCTGTCCACTATAATGATAATGCTAGCGAACACCAATCTACCCCCAATCATGTGGGTGCGCCCATAGGCCTTGAGCGTTGGGCTTCCACGGTGACTGGTGTCCCATTCACACAACACATAAATTCAAAATTATAATTTTGAGTGCTGAGGTACCAATACGATGCCAGACCCGAAGTTTAAGTTCCAACCAAAGCCGAGTTTTCGATCAGGAAATGTTTCTTTGGTGGTGAATTTCAATTCAGCTGGTACTGGTAATTTTCATTGCGTAGCCATAAACTGCTTTATTTGGAATCTGTGTGCGTTTCTTTGTGCTTACTTCATTCTACCTGAAGCCAAAATTTGTTATAGAATGGTCATTTTGGAAAACATTTGCAGTCCTGGCGACGCGACACTGCGCTTAAAGTGATGCTTCGAACGCGGGTTTTTCAGGAGCGATTGTGGGGCATGTGCCAGCCCCAAGTTCCACAGGTCACGGTGCCATTATCGATTGGCTTGTCACGCCGTCTGACTCCTTGAGGTGCGGTTTGTCCGCCGTTTTGTGGTTTTTTTGAAACCACATAACGCACTACACAAGGTATTATAACACTGGGTGCCAATGTTACCCTTCAAATGATAGCCCAGCAGGTGCAATCGAATTCGAGCAGCAATGATGGAAATTTGAGCTTTCCAAATGAGTTTATTGTAAATCATGAATGGAAACTTTTAAAACGTATTGGGGCTGGATCCTTTGGTGAGCTGTTCCTGGCTGTTAATAAGAGAACTAGAATGGAAGCCGCTGCAAAGCTGGAGTATCATCGTTCGGGAGCTCCAGTTCAACTTAAAACAGAGTACGAGCTCCTCAGAATACTAAACAATGCTCCGGGCATAACAAAACTCTATTGGTATGGACGTGATGGCGTCCAAAATCTCTACACCGTTCTCATCATGGAGCTCTTGGGACCTAGTCTTGAGGACCTCCATGTATACTGCGATCTAAAATTTTCACTCAAGACTGTCTCCATGCTCGCCGATCAAATGATCAAGCGAATAGAGACTTTGCACAAAAACTGCCTCATCCATCGAGACATAAAGCCGGATAATTTTGCAATGGGCACCGCGCACAATCTCAATACCGTCTACATAATTGACTTTGGGCTGTCCAAGTTTTACAGGGATCCGAAGACAAAAGAACACTATCCATTTCGGGATTTCCGGAATTTAACGGGGACTGCCCGCTACTGCAGTATAAATGCACACGCAGGCTGTGAACAGTCGCGTCGTGACGACCTGGAATCCCTAGGATACGTTCTAATCTACTTCCTCAAGGGCCATCTACCCTGGCAAGGCCTGCAGGCCGATAGCAAGAAGGAGAAATTCCGTAAGATATACAAGACTAAACAAAGCGTGAAAGTCGAGGCATTGTGCGAAGGTCTGCCGGAGGAATTCGTGAAGTACCTCACCTACTGCAAAAACCTTTCTTACGAAGAAGAGCCCAAGTACAGATATTTGCGAAGCCTTTTTTGGAAAATTATGGACAAAAATGGATATAGATACGACGTCCAATATGACTGGATCGCGCCGGCTTCAAGTTAAACGAAACGTAAACTGATTTAACTTCGTTTCTATTATCCACTGATGTTGAATATTTAAACCAGTTTAGTCTTCTTACGATTCATGCATTAAATAAAATTCTAAATTTACGTTAAGTCAACAATTTGGTGTTAGGAGGGCCACTTAGAACGCTAGCGAGCATAGAAGGGGTTTCGGTGATTTCAAAGAAATGGCAAAAGTTGGGTCAATTTGGCTTGAGTTTTCTCAACGATAATGCAGTCGCGACTCTAAATTGAGTTTTTTTGCCATGTGCCTACAATTTGGAAACTGGATTGGTGCTAATTTCAGCCGTCAGCAGGCAAATTTATGGGACACTGAATGCCCATCGGTAGGACCTAGATTGTAAAATAAAATTGCTACAATCACGTCAATTTACAGCGTTTCCGTTATTGGAGGCTATACCATAAGAAATAACTTTCTGGACGCAGTAGACACTTCTATAGGCCTCTGTTTACCCTACAGAAACAGGTATAATTTCAGCCCAGACAAGCACTTGCTTTGCTAACATGTCTCATCGTCTAAATGTAGTGGCCATTTCGAGAAATTGACCTACCCTTAAATTAATCAGATGTGCATCAAAATCTACTACCTTGATGTAAGAACTGGCTAAGTGTCTGGCTTAAGGCACTAGATTTTGAAGTCAACATTGGGAAAACCGAGCCACAGGGCTTGCGGGCGCATGTCCAATAAACTAGTCAGTGAGATGTACGCTGGCGCAAAGATCTGTCTAATTCTAAACCTAGGCGTTATTTGCCACTCATGATTACCGGAGTATCAGTCACACTAACGTGTGGGCAAAACAATTCATCGTGCACTGATTTTGTGCCTTCCTCTTCTAGTTGGATAGCATTTCCAAAAATCTGGATTTTGACAATCGTACATCATGAAATTTGTAAATTATCATTATTAGTTTACAGGCCAGAAATGCTGTTGCTTTCACTAACTAAAACCAACCTACCTTTGTGCATTTGTCTCCGAAGAGGTAGATTTTTCTTGAAATTTACACTGAATCAGAAGAAAAAAGGACTGATTTTTCACTTGAGACAAATTTTTAGCCGGAACGGTAAACGAGCACAAATAGTTAGCTGTCAACTTATCTCAACTACCAAGCAGTCCATGGGCAAATCCACAGGCAGTTCTCCAGATTACACCATTTGACTTTACAGACCAACAGCAAAAGGCTAACTTCACAGACCTCTAACGCACCCTGTGTCAATGGGCCTGAAACAGACTCAAAATGACAAGTAACATTTCGAGCACTCTCATGTCCACCATTCAAAATATGCATTTCTAAACCCTAATTGTACCGATTCGTGTGAAACGGTGCAACAAAATACAGGCAGAAGGCAATACTTCAAAAATGCTGAAATACTATATATTTATATGTAGGTATATATAGTTTAACGTGAAACAGCCAAAATAGGGAACGTAGAAAATCACAGGGTGTTGTGGAACGTGGTGTTGACGGTACGAGAGGTTTAAAGGGACCCCTCGGAAGCACCTGTCTCGTGGTACTGATCAGCCTGCCTTTTTGACATCCATAGGGAGACGTAGCCACCCCCTCCACCAACAAGCAGCGTCTCATTCGCAAAAGACAACTTTGCAAAGAAAATAAATCAGGCATCAATAGTTATTTGCCCACGAGTTGAAACAGTGATTCCCACTAGGGAGCATTCGAAATAAGGCTGACTTTGGTGCCGGAACTCAAAATCTTAGGCACAAACCATTGCTGAAACGACGTTTGTGGCTTTCGTGATTAAATTTCACAAAAAAAAACAAACTCTTCATTTACGACCAAAAAGTCTGAAAAATGCAGCTCACTTTATCGAAATCCTAGCATTGATTTCAAGATCTCATGTTTGCGCGGTAAAACAGGGCATTCAGCTAAGTGTTGGAGTTGGGACGCTAGTTAGAATAGTCGTCCCTTTGAGCCACAACCGTGAGCCAAATGTGACAAGGATTTCCCGTTTTAGGGCAACTGAATTCCCGGGACACACGTTTAATTTTTTTTCTTGAAGAGTTCTTTAGGGCTGGAGGATTTTGGCATGACAATATCTCGCACAAGTCTTTGCGCCCATCTGCCACTGAACTTGAAAAAATAGTTGCGAGGGAAAGTTCTTTCACCGAATAGGGGCACTAGAAACATTTGAATAAGGAACCTATGGGGGGGGGAGGTAGTAGTGATGTCAACTCACAGACACTGGAGGCGAATTGCGATCTGTGCAAATGGGCGTAGACAGCATCGACACCGGCGGCATCGTAGGATGAAGAACGCTGAGAGAACCGCACGTCCTAGCGAGAAAGACAGCTCCGGGCGTAGCCTCCAACGCGCAAATGCTTCCAGATTCGGCGGAAAAACTGTGTGACTGGAACAAAGAGGTATGACCAAGAAGGCACCTATTAAAAAGCCCCAGACTAAATCGGCTTGAATTAACTGTGGAGGTTATACGTAACTACTGACTGCACGTGTAAATCAGGCAACAATTTCACAACCGAGTATGTCAATGATGCCCCAGCACTTTACAATCTCTTCACTGATTTGTCACCTAATGAGAAGGGCAAATGTTACTCCACAAAATTCGAGGTTTCAGTTGTTTTTTTTTGTGGACGAATATCTATTTACACAAAAAGTTGATGAATGTCATCAAAAACAATGTAAACGGCAAAGACAGATTTCATGATTTTGTCCTACAAATGCTAAACTAATGCACTAATTCAAGTTGAATTAACGTCTTCGACACACAATGAAATAAGAAACCAAGTGAAACCAGACCGGCATTTTATCGACCGCCTTCCGAACCGACCGCCCAGTCAGATCAAGTGATACTTTTGTAGATGGGATCATCATCTAGGAGTCAAATAGCTGCGAAATCATATTCACAAAAAAAACTAATTTTTTTGTTAAACGATCAAAACGTACAGCAAGTTAAATGGACACATGAATTTATATTCTATCTGCTCGTGTGCAGGCGACTGATTTAAAAACACCTTAAAGGAAAACCCGGCTGTAACATGGTCCCCTTTGGTGAGGAATAATGAGCCGTCTAGAAAATTTTACACGAACGCTCCTTCAATGCAAGTGTCACCGATAAGATTGATTGTGTGTGTGCGTGTGTGTGTGGCTACTAAAGACGAACAGTTTTACACAACTCAAGCTGCTTGAGCTGCGCGCGCATACTTCTTTCCAACTTGCAACAAATCTGCATAAACATGCGGTTAAATTCATAAGCCACGGTTAAATATTACCCGAAGGAGGGTAAAAAGGTTACTTTAAAGGGTATTGAGTGCTTTTCAAAGCCCTGTCTCCATGTCTGATAGCATGTCGGCTAGAGGGTAGTTTTTTATGGATAGGCAAGAGCAGATGGTTCAAACAAATTAATTATATTCACAATGGAACAGCATTTATTCCACAATTAGTAGGGTTCCGCGATGTCGAATTTCCACACAAATCAAAATTCATCGATGACTTGAACATTTTCACGACTTTCAAAGATGTCGAATTGCCTAGCGAAAATAGTCTCCTCATGCATATTAACCTTCATCCTAGAAGTGGCCGACCCAGAATATTATACAAATTATTTAATCAAGGTAGTTAAAATCGATGCCGCCTCATGGTGGTTTCTCGTTGCGATGCACCCGCTATTTCAAAGCGCTCCTAGCACGTCATGATTTCATGCTAGCGACGATTGAATGCCAAATAATCAGGGAAAACCCAGGCCGATTTACAGGGTTGTGCTTACTTTAAGCGTACAAAAGTACGAATTCAGTGCTGAGTAGTAGATGGAATAAAAGCAATGGACAATCTCGATGACGTACATTAACAAGCGAGAGCAGAGGCGATTTCTCGGTGGTACGAGAGCATCCAGTACGGAAAACGTGAAGGCGATTGGGGTGTTCGGCTACCCACATCTCTTCCGTATCCAACAACGAAATCTCCCGTGGATAAGACTCCATCTAGGGTCAAAGGAGCCTACTGACTACATCAAAAAACAGTTTTGGTAGACTGAGATAACGTCCAGCTTCAGATCAAAAAAAGGCCACCTAAACAGATAGCGACAATCATTGGCTGTTCTTAGTAATACTGAAAATTTTCTCACCATTTTAAGGGCTACAATCTCAATATAATTAGTAGTCTAACCTGTCTGGATGAAGAAGTGCAATTTAAACAAAACTCAATTACCGGTGGGACTAAACAAACCCGTGTTTATAGAACCTCCTAAGTGGCTGTACAGTCAAGTCCATAGCCCAGATACTTCATTTTAATTTGTTTCATTGCTACAAATCATCATTTGCAAGTAAAATTGTCATGGATAAACTTCAGAGAAACTTGATGCCAAAAATGAACGCACGAAGAACAAGATAAATTAACGTGTTAGAACATACACGAAAAGGGCATCCATGTCCCCATTTTTAGACCTCAATATTAAAAATGTAACAAGGGATTGGTTAAAAAGTTTTTGCATACCTTAATTTCAGCGACTGGCTTCTTGAACTGCCGCATATCCCACGCAGCCAAAAGTCCATCTTCGCTACCACTGTAAAATGCAATGTTTGACGAAACTGAAGGGAGTAAAGGAGAGTCCCTAGCAGGATTTATTGGAGATCGCGGAGTTCCGGGGTCTGAGTTAGCTATGACACTCTCATTAAGGCTTGAATCGCCCATACTGGAAACAAGAGAATCAGCGTCGCTGAAGTTGAGTGTTGATGTTGAAGAGAAAAGGCTACCCAATGCATCTTCGCTGTTTTTCCAAATACTGTAAGGTGATTCAAGGCAGAGAACAGTGCTTTGGTGAAAAGTATTCGAAAGAGCTGGCTTTTCACTAGGTACGCGGAAGTCAAAGACAGTTAACAACTTCCGGAAGGTCCCAGCAGCAACCAGGTTTTGATCCACAAAGTCAGAACACAACACAGACGAATTCATCCTGAAAAAGGTGATACATCGTGCTAAGACTTCTTCAATTTATGCGCATGGAATTCTAGGTGGTGGAAAAGCTTGCGAGACTTGCACTTATCAAATTTTGAATTAACCCGAAAGTAAGACTGACAGATGAAATCATATAGTTGCATTAAAAGAATACTCAATTTCAACATATTACTTTGTCATTGACAAGAGTTTCACTACATTTCTAGTGATCAAACATTTAAATCAGAGGCAGTGTTTTCTTAACCCACGCACCATAGGAAAATGCCCCGCAGACGGAAACTATTTGAGATGTCAAAAATATGACTAACTAAATCTGAATGGCTAATAAATATAAGGAAATTAATTTGCAAGATTTACTTGTGTTGAGACAGAAGAATCACTTCGGCATTAGTAAGTATCCATATACGGAGGTGTTTGTCCCACGCACCTGTGGCAACCACATTGTAGTCGCTAGAGATTGTCCACAGCCAACCCTGAGGTGTTGTAGACAGAATAAATTAGTAATGGCAGAATGGAGTAGTAGAATATAGAACACAACACTTACTCCATGGGTGTGGGTATTCGAATACAAAGGTTTGGGTTCATCAAGTGATATGAAATCTTTCAACGAGAACAAAGAGAATGTCCCCCCACGGTCACCTAAGGCAAAAAGTCCACGAGCTGAAGACTAAAGAAAAGCAAACATAGTTATGCAAAAGCTTTTACTTATTTACCTTTAGAATTCGTATGGCATCGATACAATGTGCGGTATAGTGCTGCCTTGTTCGTTGGATATGGGTATTTGAGCCATCAACGAACCAACTTTCAATAATTTCACGCGAGACACAGGCATCTTTCCAATTCACCTTCTTTTCTGTTTTAAAGAACAACGCGGCGCGTGTGATTAATTAGCGTGGCGAATTGTGCTACACTTTTGAACATGGGGATATATGGTTTTACGGGTATTATCGCATTTACAAGCCGTTAAACACTTGATTCAGTTTAAAAAAAAAACTAAATCACACGTACTTAGAGAGGTGGTAGAGGAAGACCCGCTCGAATGTTTAGAATTTCATAACACAATAAGCCCAAACTATTTCAATTTGAATAGGTTATAATATTTCTACGAGACCTAAATGGATTCTGTATTCAAAAAAGCGTGCAACTCAGATAAATCATAATACGAAGCCACTATTTTAGCGAGCTTAACCACAAACAGGACACAAGTATAGCATTAACACTTTAGGCGACCCATACAGGATACCGCGGTTCCGAATGTTAAATCAGGCACTATCCAGGCCAAAATGATACGATCAAAACTTTTACCTGGAAAACAAGGGTACAGGGAATGTACTCTGTTCCTAAGGCGCTGTTGCCAGAATGATGGTTGGTTTATGGCAGACGCAAATTTATCGCAGACACTACTCAAAGAGAGCACATCTTCAACCGGAAGGAAATTGCAGATTTTTTGCATTATTTCAGTTGGCAGCGGAAAAATGTCCGCCATAGCAGTTTAATAAACCTTAGATATCAGGGCTCCCAAAATTGAAGACGTCGTCAAACCCAGCGCAGTTTATTCATTGGACATTGTTTAATTTCATGAAACCGTTCTATAATCAGCTTAGTAAAATTTCCCTATGGATATTCAGATTAAAATACCTAACCTATGCAACAAAATTTATTTATGATGCATTATTCTTCATGAATCAATTAATTTTTTTATTTATTTAAACTAAGTTTTTTTTAATTTAAGCAAAGGAAGTGTAATTTGTGTGTTTCCACACCACATTCAAACAAGGTATTACGTTGATATCTCAAATAAACGATTTATTAAAATTTTTAACTTAATACTCAAATTTACTGTGTTCATTTTATTAGGAACAACTTTGTTTAAAGACTAAACTGGTACCTTCGAAACATCTGATTGAGGACTGCATGTGCGAAAATTGACATAATATCCATTTAAATAGAATATTTGCTCAAACCTTTACAATTTTCTCCACACTATACAATGCGCTATCAAAAGTCTGTTTCAATTATAATATTAGGAATACTGAATCATCAAAATTTTAACCTATTATTTTTTTTTATAATGTACTGTTAAATCTCTTGTAATCTTGTCACACTAAGCAATGGTTACTAAAATATGGATTAATATGAAGGGTGGTATATTTTAAAGTCCATACCTTGAACTCTTCGTACGTAAGTTTCAACTGACAAGTTATGCTAGCATTTATGTTCACTTCCAGGTTGCTAATATTTTTTTGAACTTCCTTTTTCTCAGTTACATATGCCTCCAGTTTGACGTATTGAAATATAATATTTATTACGTCTTCATAATAGCATTTACTTTATCTACTTCAGCTCTCCCAGCACAAAAATATTTTTAGACTGTTTAAATGTACTCATGTATTACTCATCTTCATACTTGCAGATTTTTTTTGATTTCATTTAAGCAAAGTTTCACTTTTTTAACTTATGCTAATGTAATAACAATTAACTTTTTTTAATAAATTCAGATTTATTTTAAGCAAAATAAAAAGAGCTTCAATTTGGGATTTTCGACAAATTTAGTTAAAATCGCATGACAATTATTTTTAATAGGGAAATCCTATTTATCTACTTTAGGAATAAATCGCATGTATATAAATTGGGTTTTCAACAAATAGACGTCTAAATCGAAGGTAATATGTTCAATCTTAATGCTGGGGATCAGAATTTGTGCTTTAGTTTTTCTAAGCATTCGTGTTTCCACGCAAATACGTAATAATTTCAACCATGAACTCGAAATTTTAGTGTTTTCAAATAAGAAAAATTAAAGAACGTGGATAAATTTGACCGAAAATCATGTCATTCCTCGTTTCATGCTAGATTTTCAGAAGCAGCCACCACTTATTTAACAGATTTCTCTCCAGATTGTATTATTTTTGACTAAAATGTCAGTTCTACCAATTTTATTTAGTGAGGGAAAGCCCCGATGTGACTAAATTATGTTGCGAAAAAGCTTAGTTCTTTGGAAATATAATGATCCCTATTTTGCTGTTTTGTAATTGTGATCAGAAATGCAAACTGTTAAAGGTACATTGCTTTAATAACTGATGTCGCATAACAATAAAGTAGATCATTTTGTTTTCATTAAATATGCCGACTACTTGACACAAATTGTAAAAGTGGCGAGGTGAACGTCATCTTGATATTTTCCGCTTAAATAATTGATTACTCTGCCATTCTACAATGAATTACTATGTCACGTTTCGATTTGTACACCTTACAAACGGCGTTGGTCTGTTGTAATAACTTTCCCTTAACTAGAGCCGAGTCAGAGTCTAAACTTAGAGAAGCTTTGCAAACAATGATTTAAGATCATATTTCAGAATACCTTTTAATCTTGCTTTCTCTACGTTAATGTCTGCAGTGTTATTCATCACTGGTAAAAGTTTTTGAACAAATTGAAATTTCACAAAAATGTAAATTTTGACTGACACTAATGAACCAAGGATTCTGCCCTATTTATACAACATAGTGTCTTTTGACAAAACTTCACGAGCCTCAATTCAATTTAAAAGCACACAGGAACTTTGAAAACAGCATATTTTATGATACCAAAGTCTTTAACCTCCGACATCGATTTTCAGTTTTTTTCATTAAAATTTGGTTTTTTTTAAAGCCTTCAAACGCGTTAGCTTAAACCGAGTCAAGGTTGACTGAGTTGGTTTTACCTGTGCATCTACTTCCAAGCTCCCGAGTAAAGCTCTTCAGGTTTTATGGAGTTCTCACGCCCATCTTGACCCAATCACAGCCCACACATAATTGTGAAGTAAATGCATTTAGAAATCGATAACCAGTCTGATGCGTGCAATACTGATAGTCGTAGTAATTAAAAAAGCTATTGGGTAGCACTATTCGTGTGGTTGTGAAGAAACAACACTGCTGTCCGCGACGTCGCTCAGTGGAGAACTTGTAAAAAATATGTGATCAGCAATTGACTAACATCTTAAGTTATCGTTTTGCTCAGAATGTTTTTAACGTTAGATTCAACCCAAAATAAACTCACTCTGGACACCAAGTAGTAAATCAGAATACATAATCTGAGTCATTTCACACGGAGTAGTCCTGTGTAATTGGTAGGTACCACACGACGTCTCAGCTACGGGCACTTTTCAACTTCAATTCCTTATTGGCAAATCTGATTAGTTTAACATACCTGTAGATTAACACTTAGCAAATACACCAGACTAGTAAAACACATCGTATTTAAGTGACTCTTTTACCTACAGAATGTGGGAAGGAATGTTGCTAAAACGTTGAGAAAATTGAATCTTTTTTGCTTCAAAATGAGTTCACCTAGTCTGACAACCTTGACTCTGAAAACTCTGTTTGTAAGTTATAATTTAATTTAGATGTGACTGGTGGATGTAATTTTATTTCGGTTGCGGCTTTTCCAGAGGCACCTCAAAACTATGTATGGGTGAACACTGATTCTTGAAAGTCGTATTTGAAAATAAAACTAGCGTTGAGTGAACAAGACAAACTTGGGAGCTTCGTCTACACAAATTGAGGTTTGGCTTAAGAGACCATCTGATGCATTATTTTCCTAGCAGCTGCTCTCACTTGACAGGTTGCCAAAAGCCAAGATGCTGACTCACGTGAACAGCTGGAGTTTGGCCCCTCGACACGCATCTGATCTGTTGTGTGTGATTCTTGCGTCGATTGCCATAAAAATTCCCCTGTCGTTTTGTAGTGTTGCCAACAGGGGCGGAAACAATCTGTGATACGTACGTTACACAGTTGGCTTCTACAATCTGCTAAATCTTACTGGCAAGGTTATCCAGCTGCTTCTGAGAAAAATCTGCCGTAACTGCTTCCAGTAAATGTAAAACACCTTGTTGTCTCATTTACTCTGCCTTGTATGCGAAGGTGTTTTACTCGTGTGAATGTGAATAAAGCTGATTTTCTGTGAAATAAATTCAAGACGTGCTGTCTACATGGACACAAATCTGCATTTGTCATTACTGGCAGCAAGCCCTATCTAGTAATAGTTTCGTTCCAAAAGCACAGAATAAAGGCGTCTTTCAGTAAGCTCAAAACGTTTAAGAGAAAATCAGTCATTTCGTGTTGCATTTAAACATTTTTAAGATGTGTCACAAAGGCATCGTGGTAAGCAAATAGTAATATAACATTTAATTTGGATTCTATACGTTGTTTGGATTCACCATAGGTCAGCCTGTTACGCAAATGTTTAAAAATCCACATTGTAAACGATACTGAAAGACATTTTACATACACCCATATGAGATAAGGGTATTGTTGCGGCCCACTAATTCGATTAGTTAAAGCAAAGAACTGTTTTTGATCACTACTCAACCGAGGATTGGTTCTGAGGCGTTAATGACCAAAGATTACCTGTTTCCATTACACGTCAATGCCGTTTCATTCTACTCCAGATTCGCTTGAGATAGAATCTCAGCGTAAGGACAACGCGATTCTTACGTGCGAGCATTTCTTCATAGGATTAGGTAAAAAGCCGGAGGGTGATAGCATAATCGAGTGAAACTGGAAGACAACAAATCACGAATACCACGCATAAATTTTGCATTTAAACATTAAATGTAGAACTAAACTATATTGTAGATTTTGAATTTGCGGTTGGATGAAATCCCATGAAAACAACTAATTGGTAAAAGTGTGTTTAAAGACTATATTATAAAATAAGGTTAGTTAGTTCCGTAACAATGGCATTTATCAGGGACGAGATGGTCCAAACGGAGCTCGGATATCAAAATCTACAAAGATTTAAACCTATCGCAGGGGCTGGCAACAACTAAATCAAATCCAAATCCCCATGTCTCTACATTCTAGCCTTTGAGATTGTATGAACAGCCACAGATCGCATCGCCACGATTAGCACGTTATAAAAGGTGCGCCTTTGCCAACACAGTCATTTTGTCGCCATCAAGTGGTTTTAAGTGCTCTACTACCGCAAAATTAAAAACAAAATCATTTCCGACTTTAAAGTGTTAGTCGACCAATTTCTCTAATAGGCTATGTTACTGTTTGTTCCATGAAAATAATCAAACTTTTAGTGCAATGCAATAATGACGGCAAATGCTCAGGAAAATGGGAATTACCACAAACTGTTTAAAAAAGTAAATCGCCGTTTTTGGCAAAGTTGTGCAGCTTAATCTCAGGACCAAATTGACTTTAATGGTTCTTAGATTTTGGGATTTAGAGTATTGTGATTCTCTTTTTAATGAATTGGTAAATCATTAGTAAAAATGAATTTACAGACACCCTTCTGTTTTAATGTCCTTTTATGAGGGATTCAAATAATTGTCAATCTATTGCATATAAAATGAAGCTACCAGAGAAAATCGTGCATTTAAAACCTCAAAAAGGTTCGATTAACTTGACAAAAAATTCAAATGAATTTCAGCCAATTTCGAGGTAAAACGTAACCACGATAGACAGAAGTCCAACTATTATATCATCTCCAAGCGTGCCTCCTTATTCTGCTTGTTTCTGACACGAATGAACCACTTTACTTAACTCGCTTCTGTTTACGCTTGGAAATACCTTTCCATGATTATGTTATTGATCGAACATTAGTGCTTTTAGCTCGTGCCTCATGCCTATGTTCTCCATATGGGAATATTTTAACACATTAGGCAGAACGCCTTGTAAACTACACCCAAGAGTGGAATGTTTAATAAGAGAAGAAACTTCCATTAGACTGTGCGCGCTTGTCTAGACGAATCCCCTGTTCTTTCAAGCATGGACTGCCGACTCACCTACTTTCTAGACGCTTTGAAGAGCAAACCGCGAGATAGGCTCGTTCACTTGTACTTTTGCAACACTATAGAAGTAACGTGAGCTAGGGGAAGGCAACAAATCGATAAGGAAGAAATTGGATTGACTTCCGAATTGCGTTAAACGTCACCGTAAAATGCCCACACCCCTAAAGACAGCAAAACGACTAGTAGACTGAGTCGATCTTACCAAGGTGACATGCATTTGGCTACAGTAGACTGCTTAATCTCAGCAAAGCAGTTTAAAATAGGGCGCCATTTAGACAATTAAAAAAGACAACACAGAGTAAAATATTTCCAAAAGAACGTGCTGAATTAAATGTCTTGCATCGCTGTTCTTGGACTTCCTGAATAACTCAATAACGAGGGTGTTTTGAAATCGAATTTTGGGAGATAAGTTGAAGTTTCCATTAATATAAACAACATAATGTCATAATCAAATTTGCATACCAGTAATTTGTTGGCCCTACATTCTCCGCGGGTAGTAAATGAGGAAATCCTGGTAGGCATTTCCAAGGAGAATGACTATAATTTGTAACCAGGGCTTCGAAAATAACACTAAACGTGATGACTTGAGAGAGCACTAAATTCCTTCCAACAAAAGATGTGGGAAAATACAGCCAATCGCCTTTTGGGATTTTTTTACCAAGAGACCTGAGGGCGAATTTTCGCACTCGATAGAAATATTGAAACAGTATGCATGCATTTATTTGTCAGTCTTTTTATTTACAAGTACTTCATCTGTTCTTAAAAAAATTACGAATTTTAGCAAGCTTGTGAGGCTTTGTAAATCCGTTTGTTCAACTTACATCAAAACAATCTAGGTTGGGGGTAAAAAATCAGGATATTGTTTGAAAACCATACCAAATAAGATGGCTTGCAAAAGCAGGCTTAACGCTGTAACGTTTATATAATCGTAAGCATGACAATCAAAATTTGCAGATTAACGTTTGAAATAAAAACGGAGTACTCAAACGACATTACCGCTCACTTTGGCAGCCCCGAAGCCGTTAACAGACCCTTGCTCAAATCCATGTAATTCTGTGCCTTTTTCAGTGATATAGATTTCTCCGCATACTGAGCTAGTTTTGCTGATTTATAGGATTGCCTGTAAGGAGGTTGGAAGAAGTAAGGGATTTGGTATTTGATAACCGAAGATCGCATTACTGGACAATGTGTGGATGTCACCGAATGTAGTCGACGCTTAGGTGCATCATTAGGTTTCAGTGTTGGCATGGCATGGTCACTTAGGTCTTTGCGTCTAGCGCAATTCAACATCCTGTGCTTCAGTTGGTCCGCCTGAACACCTTTAGCACTTCTAGCCATGTTGAACTCGGACGCAGCATTGTTCCTGGAACTTGGGTCGACGTCAAGAGGCGCCCATATATTGTCAGGAATGTCTGTCAAATCTTTCGGGGAGCAGTGAGCATAGGACCTGTATCGGAGAAGCCAGTCGCTGACCTTCTGTTCCGCGAGGCTTTTGTGCGAATGTCGGTCGGTAAATATTTGTTTAAGGCGATCGGGCGCGCTGTTGTTTCTGGCAAATTCATCAGGACTGGTCTGAATCAAACCGTTAGGTTCATATCCAAAAGCGTCATCAGAAAGTGGGGTAGTCGTAGCCCCGAGACTGGAGTTTCTTGGAAGTTGTCCGTTGACCATCGGCCACACGCTGCGCGAATTGGTAGTATTCGTCATGTCTGAATCTCAGGCGCCAAGCATCCACGCTACCACGCCTGTCTCTTTCTTTGCATGGCCTTGAAGTTGAATCGATCAAATCCACCAACTTTAATGAGTCACGTGGATAGAATGCGAGGTATTTGATCCTAGAAAGCCCTCGTTTCTAGACCAACATATGTACTTTATTGTCCTTTTTCTTTTCATTTGCGCTCACACCAGCAGGACAAAGAAATTATTGCTTAAAATGGGGTAAACTGATCACTCCCTTCACCAAGAAATCTCCCCTCTGGACAAGATACTTAAATGAACCTAAGCTTTCACCGCTTGGAAGTGTTACGGCATAATTATACACGATGAAAGATCCTCAGGCTTGATACATTGCTGTAGGACCCAACATGCGGCCTTGAACCACAAAGGGCCGCTGCACTGAGACGCGGGAGGACAAAGACATAGATGGCTTGACCAAGTTGTGTGTCGCGCCACCGTGCATAAAACGCCAGATCTTACGAATGAGCTTTGAACCTCTACAACAATTTGGATGAACTTGTAAAAGTGCACATGGCTGAATGGTCAGCTGAATGGAGAGAGTGGCGGGGAGGTTCGCGCACAGGAGTGCATGAGCAGACAGTCCCGCATGGCTGACGCACACGCTGTGAAAAGAGGGGCAGCGTGTCAGAGAATATAACGACCGGGCTAATGGACGTGGATCGGAACAATTAGCCACAAGCCCCTTTCCTCTTACATCTGGTTCTTTCATTATTCCTGATTGCCAACGTTACAATATTGATCATTAAAACAGTTAAGCTGTCGGAGATGGTATCGGCCCCTGGCTTTGTAATTGAACTTACCCAAGGTAATGCCAGAACGCCGGTGTGCCTCTTCCGCACCCGAGTCGATTAGCCACTTCGCATTGCCGCGTGGGCGAGGCAGGCCGATGCTCAGCTTGTCAATAGGCGGAAAGCCCGTACACAGTCAATGTTAGCATTTCATGTGTCAACATGTTGTGCACAATACTTATTCATCCGTGTGCGATGCTGCGCCATTAAGCGCCACTTGGTGTAGGTGTGGGTAATACGATTCCTGCTTCTTGATTATGCGAACAAAGTTTGTTTGTACTACCACAATGATACACGACGTCATGTCTGGTTAGAGTTTAATACTTTAATTATGAACTCCACTGGCAGGAGACACTGTCGTTCGACTTTAATTATGAACTCCACTGGCAGGAGACACTG